TTTGTACCTTCTAGCACCTTTGGATTACTACTGTCACATTTGGAGCACGTGGAGACCTTAGACTATTGTAGCACCAAAGAAACACAGGGACATATTTTCCACTGGAGCTTATTACTTTCAAATATTTGCTTTACCTTTGTTATCTCATGGGATAACTAGAGTGATAGCACAAACAAAAAACTAGAATGAATAAGAAGGGAGCTGTGCAAAACAAGTGACTGCATCCGTTTTAGATTATGCACATTTTTGTGTCATTACTGAGTGTGGAGCTGGCAGGGTGAAAGTTCAGATGTGTGTGAGGACACAGTCCTTTTAATGTGAAAGGCCTGGCAAAAGAATGTGACACTCCTCTGAGTGGTGAGCTTTCTGGCCTGGTAATGTTTAGATAGAAGTTAGACTGTAGAGGGAGAGAGGTTTCAGAATTGTCTACTAGGTGGAGTTTGACTAAAAGAACTTCAAATATGCATTTTTATAATTGTGTGCTATGCTTATCTGGAATCACTCAGAATTTTAGGCTCCAAGAAGGAATCTGAAGTCATTTCTGCCTCGAGTCTATTGCCAGCCAAACACAAGAAGAGACTTTGCAGAGCCTTCCTCCTCACACGTCTGTGCACACAAATGAGATCGTTGGGGAACTGGCCCTAAGGGCTATTCTCCAGCAATTGAGAGAATGGAATTTAATTTTAGGGATTAGGCATGTACTGTAATACATTAAGCCTCAGCATGCATGTGCCTAGTCTTAAGACACACACACACACACACACACACACACACACACACACACACTATGAAAAGCAAATCTGTGATCATTTCAGCAGTTAAACTTTTGAACACTGGTCGTGTTGAGTTTGAATCCAGTTTCTCTGCTTTCTAGCTTTGAGTCTGAGGCAAGTTACTCAACATTTCTGGTTTTCTTATCAATAAAACAAAGTTAATGGCTGTAGTGAGGATTATGTGTGTTGTTAACTGTAAAAGCCTTAAAGTAGTGACTGACACAGAGTAAGCACACACATACACAGAGCAGTTATTGTTCGAGACTTTATAGAAGTAGAAAAACACAAGGAGGAACTAAAAATTATCCCTATACTGAAGGAAAACCACTGTCAGTTGTTAATGTGTCTTTCTAATCTTTTTTTCACATGCTTAATGTTCTGTTTGTTGTCACTTTGGAGTCATACTAAGTGTCTTGGGTTCTTATGCACATACTTGTACAGACACACACATATACACACAAATGCACACTTTTTTATACTTGTTTAAAAAATTAGGATACAAGCCTCTATGATTAGATAACCCTGCACATGTTTCAGGATTAAGCCAAAAGGTCAAAACTTCCTTTAATAGTTATTATGGTATGATTTTTAAAGGGAACAGTCATCTGTAAGTCAATGAAAGAAAGTTCACAAGAAACCAACTTTGCCAACACCTTGATCTCAGACTCCCAGCAGTTCTGGAAACAAATTAAGATCATTTCTTTTTTTTTCTTTTTTTAAAAGTTGAATTATTTTTAATGAGCATTATGTAAAGCTACCTTGTCAAAAATTATTACTTTTAATTGGCTATTTAGTTGGAAAACTCTGAAAATTTACATAGAGGTTCTACCAAAACACTCTTAAGATTTGATATACTATCGACACAAGTCCTGGAAAATTCTGGTAGTATACACACATTTAAAATGAAGTAGCAGATTAAGACTACTAGAAAATTAAGTTGGAGATATCCATTTAATTGAGATGAGACTAGTGGTTCTGGAAATGGTGCATCAGCTATTTAAAACCTGGCATGAAACCATCAGCAGAACTAAGAGACAATCTACAATGTGGGAAAAAATTTTTGCCAGCTGTTCCTCAGACAAAGGACTATTATCAAGGATATATAAAGAACTCAAAACAATCAGACCCCCCAAATATAAAGACCCGATTAAAAAATGGGCATCCGAAATGAACAGACATTTCTCAGACAAAGAAGTAAAAGCAACAAATAAATGCATGAAAAAATGTTCCACATCACTGATCATTCAAGAAATGCAGATGAAAACAACACTGAGATTCCACCTCACCCCACAAAGAATGGCTGCTATCAAGAAATCACACAATAACAAATGTTGGCGGGGTTGTGGGGAGAAAGAAACTCTTCTCCATTGTTGATGGGAGTGCAGACTGGTGCAACCTCTATGGAAATCAATATGGAGATACCTCAAAGAGCTTGGACTGGAGGTTCCATTTGACCCAGCCATCCCTCTGCTGGGTATCTTTCCAAAAGAACTAAAAGAATCATATCACAGCGAAGTATGTGCACCCATGTTTATAGCGGCACAGTTTGTAACAGTTAAATCTTGGAAACAGCCCATTTGCCCATCCGTTGGAAACTGGATAAAGAAGATGTGGCTTTTCTATAAAATGGAATATTTCTCAGCCATAAAGAACAAGAAAATAGATTCATTCATAGGAAAATGGATACATATTGAAGATATACTCCTAAGTGAAATAAATAAGTCACACATGTGTAAATACTGAATAGTTTCCCTGGTGTGAATAATCTGCAATAATACATAAGATCCTAATAAGATTACTGACATTTAGAAATGGGAAGAAAGGAGCAAAAGGTGTAGGGAAGGTGGGATGGGTAGGGGAAGGGTAAAGAGGGAAAAGAAAAAAATGTGAGAAGATGAAAATAAAGTGTTTGTAGATGGGGAGGGGAGAGGGGGTGAAGGAAGGGCAGGGTTAAGGGGAAAAAATGAGAATCAAGACTTGTCATGTAGAGGTACAAGATCCCAACAATGAATGTAACTGTACTGTATCCCTAAAATGTACCAATAAACTCAATTAAAGCTGAAAAAAAAACCTGGCCTGTTTGAAAACTGGATAGCATTTAACACAAAAGAAAGTTTCCTATATTTAAAGGAAAATAGGAATAATTTTTAGCAACTGGTATAGGGAAATATTAGTTATGATAAACAATAAGAGAAACCTTCCATTGTATGATATTTGAGAACATGAATATTCACTTGAGATTTATTAGCAGTATGGCAATTCTGTCTATGGACAATGTCCATGATAAAAATAATTTCAAGATAGAAATCAGCAAATGATTTACTACTAGATTGTCTTGTGCTTTGGGTCACAAAGACTTTCATAATTTGAAAATCCAGACTTCTCAGTCTTTAAAGCTCATAGAAAAATTCATCATTTACTTACCTGTTCTTTCACCAAATGTTTATTAAGAATTAAGAATTTGTAAGCCAGGGATTTAGCTCAGAGGTACTGCTGTCTGCCTCTCAAGCATAAGGTCCTGAGTTTGATGCCCGGTACCAAAAAAAGGATCAACAATTTGTGTCAGGGTGGACACTGAATCTCCGCCATGGTGATTCAGACCTGTGCCTGTCCCGCAGACTCTCTGGCCCTTCTCACCTACATTGTTTAGCAGGTAAAGAGACAACTGCTGTCAACAACGACAGTCCAGGAGTTTGACCAGATGTGGGTTCTGTGGCCCTCTTCTGAGGCCAAACTCCCTGACCTTATCTTACATGAGTGTTTCACTCACTCAAGGAGTTAATGCCGTTTGGAGGCTCTTTCATCCCCTATGTGCTTCTTACATGACGCTAGTGACATCTCATGAATGGCTGCAGTCAGTAGGTTTGGTTTGAGCAAGTTTTGTTTTATTTTAAAATATTTTAACATCTTTTATTCAAGCAAAATTCTTTTTTTGATGTTTATTTTCTGAAAGCGTTCAGAGGCGAATGCAATTTGGCACTGTATGAAGTCACTTCCCTAATTGGATTTATGTTTGATATATCAAAGGGTTCTCTGATCTATAAACTTGTGAGCTTGAAGAAAAGCCCCCTTTGAAGCACATTTCAGCCTCATCTGAATCTCAAGAGATCCAAGTAGGTCTTATCTAATCCAACCTGCTGTTCCCATGCCTTCCTCCGGCCCTTGTTCTCATTTATCGCATTCATTTAAAGAGTACCTTGTTTTTTTTCTAAACATCCCTTGCATATTCAGTGGCTTACTAATCTTTCAATAGATACTCAAGCAATATTACAATTGATACTAGCCATGTGCTGACATTTAGGGTTACCTTTGATATGTGCAAGGGAACAAAATGTCATTTAAGGAAAAAAAATGTTGGGAATGACTTCATTTTCTTTTGTATGTTATGTAATATGCCACTTCAACCAAAGAGGTCCTTCAAGTACTAATAACATTCTCACTTCCTAACATTTTGAGACATTAGTGTTTCACAAATGTTAATTAATGAGTCTATGTCATATTATCATCTGCCTTAGCTAATACACTGATTTAAAGAGTCATGATTTATGGGGCATCTTTCTTTTACTGTGAACTCACAGAGTCTCTGGGTCTTATTCTCCATAGAAATCATTAATATTTTGGGTGTCTTAGTGTAAACTGATGTGAACACACACTTCTGGGTGCTTGGCTTTAGAGCCAGTTGCACTCTTAGCAGAAATCCTTTCTGGGTAAGAAGTGCCTGCTAAGCTATATAAAGAGGAAGGAACAGACAGTAAAATACATGCTTTTCTGTTGCATACAGGCTGACATGACTGCTTAAATTTGCCAAGGAAATGAGCTACTGAGGAGACTATCTGTTCTTCACGAGATTGTTTTAGTATATGTGCTGCCGAAGTGAGCACTCATGAGACTGTTTTAAAAAGCTAGTACACATATGCACACTTCCACACCCAGAAATTAATAAAGATATCTGAAAAGGTTAATATCTGCTGCTTGGTGCAAGTAAACAGAATTTGGCTTTCAAATGACCTCTCATTGGATGTGAAGTTTCTTTATAGGAGGGAGAACATCTGGGCCTCTTTGTATTTTCTGCAGCAGCATCCAGCACATGGCAATCAATAAGGGTTTGTTTGGATAAAAGCAAGACTTACTTGAAAATCTAAATGTCCAGGATGACCTCATCTGTCCCTGTGTTTTGTGCTGTGACTCCATACAGAGGAGCTCCCACTAGTGCCTGAAGCTGTCCACAGCTGATGCTGGTATAGATCCCAAAGAAAAAAGCAGTAAGGGGTATTAGTGCTGCAGCATATCCTTGTAGCAGAGAAAAGTCTGGGACATTCTACTTTGGTTTGCGTTCAGAGAGGGGATCAAGGTAAGCAGTTCGAGGACGTTTAGATCAGCGACCCGGCCAGTTATTTTTTCAGTGCTTTGGGCAACAAACTAAATACCTTTATTAGTGCTTGAGAATTTTCAAAGCCTGGGTTCGAGTTCAAGCATGTGGAAAAAACCCTGCAGCTGGCTGGGTCCAGAGCAGCCAAGGCACTCTGTGATTTTCTGTCAGGACACAGAAAATGTGCATATGTGGGGTTTGGGGAAAACCGTTCCTTAACTCTCTTGTCATGAGTGCGCAACTTTGCAAGTGTTATAGGAAATAATTTTCCTCCTTTTTGAGGGCTGCGGTTTGAGACAGGGGGTCACTACGCAGTTCAGGTTGGCTTGGAACTCACTATGTAGTCCAGGCTGGCCTTGAACTCGTGGCAATCCTCCTCCTCAGCCTCCAGAGTGCTGGGATTATAGGTGTGTACCACCACGCCCAGCTTCCTCCTTCTGATATAGCTGGAATTTTCTATTTTATCTGTACACTTTGAAATTTCTATACTTGTTTCATGCCTAACAGCTATCACTAATTTTTATTTGTAGAATATTTAAATTTGTAAATATTTTATATTAAATTATTTAATGATCCATGGGATACATAGGTCTGGTAGGAAGTAGGACTTCTGTGACAATTAAAATAAGGCTTGGTTTCCTTCAGATAGGAAGCCATTTTCTTATTTTATCCTTTCCTTAAATGAAAAAGAAAAGAGCAGCTGTCTTGAGACCTCACAGGAATTCCAGTTTCAAACAGACAAAAAAATGGACACTTCTGTAAGATGAGACCAGAATAATTTAAAACAACAGATGTCTTTTTCTAACAAAGTGTTCGTGAGGCTAGCTCTAACTTTTTATCACCACAAAGGAAAAGGAAAAACAGATTAAAAGAAAACACAAAGGTAGCATAATTTGCTGGCTCAGGAAATGTTTTTTCCTACTATATTTTGGAAAAGAGCAGGACTTGGAGGCCCTTTGCACTTCCTCCCGCCCCCGACTGTACCATTAAATCCTAGATACTGGGGTGACTGTAAACCATAGGGAATGGATTTATAATTGTTGAAATCTTTTCCCCCACTTTATCCATGCCAGGACTTGTTGCTTTCTTTCCTTAACAGCAATCACAATTCAGAGGCTTGTTCTGCTCGCAAGGACACTGCAAGAGATAGCACCATAGTCTGGACTCTAGCTGAGGGGTGAGGTAAACAACAGGACTATAAATATCAGCATTTCTCTCTGTGGCTTTGCGGAGCCGCCCCAGCAAAGCAAAGAGAAAGGAAGCAGGCTGGTCAGAAGCGGTTGCGTAAGTAGGATTTTGTTTTCCAATAGTTTATTCTTGTAGAGTTTTTCGCTTCTGGGCCTTTTGGCTAAGATCAAGTGTATTCTTGTAGAGTTTGGTAAATATTTTCTGAATATGATAAAAGTTATTTTCCTCTTTGAATAGACTTAGAAAAAGATGGGTGAAGGAAATAAAAATTATAAGGAAAAAACCCCCAGAAGACTCAGAGCTCAGGTGTGGTGGGTGAAGTTCTCAGTGGGCACATCTGACTTTCTTGTTGATATCTGTCCTGCCTTCATCGCAGCTGAGTAGGGGTGCAGCTGGAGGAATCTAGCACTTTCTGCAGGAGGCTGCGATGTTATACAGGCAATGTTATATGATCACATTTAAGTACTTCCCTCTGAAAGGCAGACTGAGAACAAAGGGAAAAAAAGAGCCTAGTGGATTTGTAGAGCCGAGATTGGAACATGCTTATACTACAGTGCTGTGGAAATGTGTAGACATATTGTGAGCAGTTTCAGAAAAATGGGTGGTGGTGGTGGAGCAGGCTGTGCCCCAGGGCCACCTTCAAGGGAATGAAAGTCCATGTCACAATGGGGTGATTAAATATAAAAAATTTCAATTTAAGTGCAGAATGGGAGCCTTCAAGGGAACAAGGAGGCACTTTCACAAGCTGACCTGAAGCCCAGAGTGAGAGGTTAAAGTCTCTGAGTAGCCTGCATTTCAGTGGGGAATTTTAAACAATTGTAGATCTGTATGTGGCCAACTAATCTAGGTTTATAATTGGAAAGCTATGAGATTAGTGAAAGTTACGAAGACTTTGCAATTGTTTCTGAATCAGTGTCTAGTAAATCCAATTTTGCTATTTATCCTCATTTTTATATAGCTGTTTTACAGTTATAGTTAAAAGCTTATTGTATAACAATTATTTTGAGCAAATAATGTTGAACAGCCTATTGATTACAATGGCAGAGGACAATCTGAAATCATGAATTGTTTAATTCACTACCTTCTGACAAATGGCTTATTTTTTCGGTTGAAACCTAATTGAAGAAAATAGTCTTTTCATTTATATTTGTCCTTTAGCCACTAAAAACTATGTCCTCATGGCAAAATTAGAATATTAATTGTTGTCTTTAAGATGAAGGTTCTAGAACTACTGAGTTAATTTTTGTAGTGAAAGAGATAAATCCAAGACCTTGCACAAATTTATATTTCAGAAAATAGACATTTTATTAAGAAATAAAGCACCTTACATTATTCTGATGTTCTCTCTGCCATCTTAGGGCATAAACAAAGTTGGCTGCTATAGTCATTACAAAATGATCTATTGAAAAACTCTCAATATATTGCAGTAGCTGAGAGGTTGTTTTTGATCTGACAGAATTGATTTGAATTCAATTTCTCTGTGATTTACTCCATATGTGATCATGACAAAGTGTTTAAACTTTCCCTTAGCCATAGTGTCCTCAAAAAGGATAAGGCATAAGAATTAACAGGCTGCTTAGTGCTGCCTGTATAGAGTTCTATAATGCTCAATAAAAGATAACTACAATAGGGACAATTGTGTTATCAGTGTAAATATCATCTTAAAGAAATTTCTCAGATTTAGTACAAAAATTTTAAAAATTTAATTATTGTTATTATTTTTTTGGTACTGGGGATTGAACTCTGGTCCTTGCACTTGCGAGGCAGGCAGCAGAAAATTAAAAATTTTAAAATAAAAAATTATTAGATTTTTTTCTAATAAAACATTATTAGATTTTTTTCAGTACCGGGGAACAAATTTAAGGCCTTGTGCGACCTAGGCAAGCACTCTATCACTGAACTACATTTCTAGACCTAAATAGTACAAATTTAAAAATATTAGAATAGTTGAGATGGATTCAATTTGTCATTTTTTCCTTTCCTCTTCCTTTCCCTCTCTCTCCTCTTCCCGTCTTCATTTCCTTTTTTTGGTTAGACTCTTATCAAATATCTTCTATAAGTAGGTATTTTGAGTTGTTAATATGAAAGCTGATCAGATTAAAAAAAAATATATATATATACCCACTGATGCAGAGGCTAGATTAGTCTGGTTTTAGCTTTTCACTCATCTTTTAATTCTAGGCTCATTCCAGATAACTGAGTATTAGCAACTCTCACCCAAAGAAAGACTTCTGCTTTTTTAAAATATCAGATCAATGCCTAAAAATGTCCTAACTTCCTAGTTTTGGAATTTTGCCCTGATTTTTTTCCACAGACACATCAAAATGAGCCTGAATTACCTCTGTGGAGTTTTTCTAAACTTATCTCTGCTGAATGTGTCCCTTCTTTCATCACATCTTTAAGTGCATTTTTTTAAACTATTCTGCTGAGAGAGCTGGCCATAGTTTGGGGGAGTCTTTCTGGTCAGGTATTCAATGTTTTAACTTTTCTGCTCAGAGAAGTTCTCTTTATGCATGAATATGCTGTCTAGTTCCAGGAGCTTCCTGAAAGTAGTAGTAGCCCATAATAGGCTCCTTGAGTATAGATTTAATGAGCCTTAAATGATATAAGGAGCAATGATTCGTGATTCCTTCTGAGGTTCTCCCCCACCTTGTTGATATTATCATGGGTGTGGTAATAATGATAGGGAAGATAATCTCATATTTTGAGATATTAAATTCCTATAATATTAACATGTAGCTAAGCCCTAAGGAATAAGAAACAAAAAGGAGCCATATCCAACGTATTTATTCATGTGAAAAGTTTGAGCCTGAAGAGCTAAAAGGCCCAACACGAGCAACATTCCTCTTGGTACACTGCCCTGATGGGCAGCTCTTGAGACCTTTCTGGGCTGGCTTTCCTCATTTCTGTGAAGAATTTCCTACTTACCTTTCACTTACTTGAGACTCTGAAAGGTCATAAAGAAGCAGTCAGAACTTGGCACGTCTCATATGAAAGGCAGACTGTGTTCATAGAATGTTATGGGTCAACATAAACAACAGTCTGAACATTAAAAAAATATGCACCTTCTGATGAAGCACTTGGCTACCTGATAGGGCAAGTGTTCATAGGATGCTTACTACAGTAGCTTGCTAAGCCAGATAGTCAATGTCTTGATAACTCCCTTGCCTCTGTCTGGTAACTTCCTCTTTATAGGAAGATTTAGTGCTCATTATAATGGCATAATGAGAGCCCAACAATGAGAGGGAAGAGAGACAGAATCCATGGGCTACATATGATAGGAAGTAGAATTATTACCTATTGAGTTTATAGCCTGGGAAGAAGACTACCAATTTCCTCTTTTGCAGGACAACCACAGAAATGTGGCGAAGCCTGGGGCTTGCCCTGGTTCTCTGTCTCCTTCCTGGTGGGGGAGCAGAGAGCCAGAGCCGAAGCTCCTTTTGTAAGCAACCCCCAGCATGGAGCATAAAAAATCAAAATCCCATGCTGAATGCCACTGGTACAGTGACTGTGGTTGCTCTTCTTCAAGCCAGCTGATACCTGTGCATTCTGCAGGCTTCCAGGTAAGACACAGAACTTTTGTGGTTTAGGATATATTTGAGGAAAAGCTGTTAAATACCTACCTACATACATATGTACATAAACTAAAAATGGAAACAACATACTTGTTAAGTCGCATTTTTGGAAAAACTGTTATGTATTTGCATAGAATAAATTAGACAAGCCCAGGAAATAGATAACAAAATGTCTTGGTTGCTTTCCTGTGGTTATGAACATTTTTTTCTTTTATGGACTTATATTTAAAAATTCCTACTAAATCTGTATTACTTGTGTAATAAAAATGTTTTAAGTTGAATTGCAAATGTGGCAGTTATGTCAAGAAGAATGTTTTGTCAGAATAACATGCAAACTAGACTTGCTATCAAAGGTCTTGGGTCATTTCATAAACATATCAAAAATGCTTTTTGGATTATTCACCAAATTTTCATCATTGGTTTAATTTTCTATAAGATGAATTTCAAAAATATATACTTCATAAGATTAATTTGAGGACTAAATTAGCTAATGTTTGTGGAAGCATTTAGCATAAGGTTTTAAGTGAGGAAAAAAATTTAAATTATTCTAAAAAATAAGAGTTTCAGAATCTTATAACAAATACAGGTCAGTCAAAAATAATGAGAGTTTCACAGGGGTGAAAAAAGAATGTGAGGGAAGAGAGAAAAGACCACTAGTCAAATTAAATGAGACTATTCATTTTACGCATTTTCCCTAAATATCTTAGATTTGAAGACCTGCGAGTAAAATTGGAGAAAGAAGGCTATTTTAGTATTTCCTATGTTATTGTTAATCACCAAGGAATTGATTCTCGGTTAAAACACATACATCTTAAAAATCGGGTTTCAGACCATATATCTGTTTATCAACAAGAAGAACACCAGACTGATGTTTGGACTCTCTTAAATGGAAATAAAGATGACTTCCTCATTTATGACAGGTATGTACCCATCCCCTCTCAAATTAAGATACCTGTGTTGTACTTTCTTACTTTCACCACATACAGACTTCTTCATTGTTAAATATAATGCCTTATTTCACTTCTCATCTCACATTATCCTTCATTAACATGTAGAAGTAACAACTAGGAGTTGAAAAAATTGATCTGTGTATGTACATGTACCACCTACCCACAAGGAATATATGCACTGCAAACATGTACTAATGAAAAGAATTGGAAAAGAGAAAAAAAAACTAGTTTTAAAAAACACTTCCAGTTTTAATTTCTATGATGCTATATTCTGATTTTTTTCCACATCTTTCCTTTTCTTTCTCCTTCTCATCCTTCCTTCTACATCCTTCTTGTTTATTTCTTATATATTTGTATTATTAAGAACACTTAGGTTTCCTTATCTTCACACTGCATATTCTGCATGAGCAATCTCAGCTATTCCTTGATTAGTTATGATTTATGTTCTGATAATCCTAAATTCAAAGCTCAAACACAATGACTGAACTCTAGACCTATTATCCATTTCACATACAAACATCTTAAATTCAGTTATTCAAATTTTGACTGATTATCTTCCATAGTCTTATTTTACATTACCCTTTGTGTTATATAAAACAATTCTTGTAAGGGAAAGATGTAGCCAAGTAGTAGTAGTGGCAGCAGTAGCAGTATTATATGCTACAGGATTACAAAATATAATCTTCAGTGTCTTCCATTCTCCTTTTCCCAGTCTTTTTCTGTTAAGGATATCACAGATACCATCATATTTGGTAACTTTGCTGCCATCTGTCCTTTAAATGCTATGTGACAGACGTGTTACTGACTCCTATCACACCTTTCATCTTGGGTTAGTCACCAAACCCTATGGATTTTTAAATCTTCAGTACAGCTATCTTGTCTTTATAATCACTATCCTATTTTCTTGTTACCTCCCCTCTAGAATTTTGCAACAACTTCCTTAGTTGTTTCTTTTCTGCTATGTATTTAATAATAAAGGATTTAAAATAAGGTGTTTGTTTTTGTGTTATTACCAAATACTCAGCTTCAAAAATAGGTTTATTAAAGGGTTTTGTTTCTAAAGCTTTAAAATGACTTTCTTAAAGGTAAGTTATGTAAAAGACTTCACCATTCCAATAGGTAAAGAACGCTGAGTATACATCTCTCTCCCACCAAGTAAATTTACATTCGGGTTACATAAATAGAAAGATCCATTTGCATTTCACGTACAATTCTAATCTAAATGTTGTTCAGATGAATAGCCTCACTTTGAAGACAATATTTTTGTTTAATTTATAACTTGAAGGCTACTTGCATTTCAAACTGTAAAGTGTGTTAATCATTGTGATCTGTGTGACTGTTTGATTCCATGAATAAAATATTCATTTTGAGAGAACTTCAATGTATATATTATTTGTGTCTTACTTTCATCATTGCTGAGACAAAATACTCGACATCCCAAATAAAAAGGAAGAAAGGTTTATTTCAACTCTGTAGAGGTTTCAGTCTATAATCAGCTGGCTTCAAAGAAGGGTGGCATGGCAGACAGGAATCTCAGAGGAAAAACAGTTCATGGTGGACAGAAGGTAGCAGAGGAGCCAAATAGCAAGCAACAAGTTACCACAGCAGCCCTCTTTCTGTCCCTTGTCTTATACCCAGACTACTCATGCCCAGGGAGGGCCTTTCTATTATCCACTCCCAGAACTATGCCAAACCAATCAGTGGACTAATTTAAAAATCTCACATTCTGGATTGCAGTATCACACACTCTAGATCCAGCTACCTCTGAAAAGCCTCACTTATGACCACCTGAGGCTTTAGGGAGACAGCTAGACATAAACCATAAAACTATCTGCTGTGAATATATTCATAGTGATGTCTGCTTCTAGCTTTTTGGAGTGGTGAGCCAGACGTTGTTTAGGTCTAAGCATCTTTCTAATATTACATTTCACTCTTTCAGGCCTCTGAACTTCTTAGTCATTTGTAAAGTCTAGCACTTTAGTATTTGCATAGAGTCATACACTGGGTAAAATATGGACAACAAGGAAATTTTAACCCTACCATTACTCAGGATGCCCAGTGTTATAATTCTAATTCTCATGCTGACATTTTTGTTGCATCATATCTATTTTTCAATAAATTAGCTACTGGTCAAGGCTTGGGGATCTTTTTGGTCGGTATAATATCTTTATTTTGTGGGATTTGTGCTGTCTTAGCAGTTATGAAAAGCTCATGTGGTTTCCAGAGCTTAACTGATGTGTCAGTGTGAGTTTGGATGTGGTAAAATTTATAGGTCAATTGCAAAACTGCATTTGGGTGACTATGACTTTTTATTTAGTGACACATCTATAATTCAAAATGCTAACATTAGACTCATTGTAGTCTTTCTGTGATCTGATCTAGTACACAGTGCCTGGACTTCCTTTGTAGACTGCATCCAAGGAAATTTACTGAAGATATGAAGGGTTCTTAGCTGTAAGACCAGTGAACCTGAGTACTAATATACTTATCAGAAACCACATATAAGTAATAAAAAGTACTGGATAATATTGTTCCCCCCCCTTTTCTTTCAGATGTGGTCGTCTTGTCTATCATCTTGGTCTGCCTTACTCCTTCCTGAGTTTCCCGTATGTAGAAGAAGCCATTAAGATCGCTTACTGTGAAGAAAAATGTGGAAACTGCTCTCTCAGGGTACCCTACTTTTCTCAATTATTTTTACTGGGAGAAAAAGAGGAAATATTTTAGGAGCTATTTAAATAAGTTAGTGTTTTGTGATTAGCTATACTACAACTAAGTAATTTTTAAAATTATACACGTTTTCTGTTATGGAATGTACACTTTAAAACATTTTTAAGATCCATATTACTGTCTTTATCTAGAAGGGTTTTAGAAAATAAAAATCAATCTGGATCATCACTAAATGATATTGTATGAGTAGATGCTTAAGAACTTAGTCGACACATAAAACGATATTATTGTAGTAACTTGAACTTGCTCATAGGAGCATTGTGGTAACAAAGCTTACCCTAGACACAATTTGTCAAGGAATTAAAGCCAGATAATTACTTAATTTACTAAGGATACATAAGCCAGTTTTTCTGTGAAGTCCTTATACTACCTCCCCATTTTCCAGCCTGAATTATTGTATTTACTTGAAAACGGAATGTTTTCTACTTACAATTTCGTCCCTAGTAACTCTGAAATATTTATTCCTTGTTATGAGACTATATTTAAATAAAAGGTAAACAGATAATTTAAATTTCTATAACTTGATGTGCTTTTCCTTATATTAAAAAGAAAATAATTCTAAAGCATGTTTCTTTAATAGGGAGACAGACAAAATTTGAATTCAGGTTTAAAAACAATTTGAATTTCATTTTTGAGCAGCACTTTCAAATATTTCCTAGCTTTAAAGAAAGCCACCTCAGGGCAAGGGATTTAGCTCAGTGGCACTATGCCTGTCTCACAATCACAAGGCCCAGAGTTTGATCCCTGGTATCCCCCCCCACCCTGCAAAAGAAAGCCACCTCAAATTTTAACAAATCATTTAAATTTATTTATTTAGTTGGTATTGAGTGGAACAGGTTAATCACGTCATTTTTTCCACATTAATCTTAATAATGTGATAATGAGTTTTTTTCTGGTGTTAAAGGTGAGGAGATAAGGTAATGCAAATAAAATACTGTGTCTTCAGTTACTTAATAAATGCCAGCTGTACTGATCTCTTATATTATTTGTGTTGTGTAATTTATAAATGTACCTAGTTATATTAAAAACAGAAACAATTCCCATAATATTCTTAAAACTTTTGAACTACCTATAAATAAGAATATCATGTGTATCTAGCATATCAACTCAGATTGGGATTTTTCTTTTTCATTGCTTCCTAGATGCCATCAATTATATAATACTATTTAATTTACTATTAAGAAAATGCTGGCAATTAAAGTAATATACAATGCTAAAAAACCATTATAGCAGAATATACTCTAATATTATAAATAGTATCAAAATATACTTAGATATACTCTAATGTTAGAAATAGTATCATAGACTAGTATAATAGAATCAGTGAAATAGTTAACAGGTTTTATGAAATTAAGCTGCTACTATAGCTATTTATGTTTAATAACTGAGTACTTTGTTGATTGACTGATTGATTACAATGCTGGAAATTGAACTCAGGGCCTCGAACATGCTAGGGAAGTAGTCTACCAGGGAGTTACATCTGTAGCCTTATCTTATTTTTGAGACAGAGCCTTTCTATGTTGCTCATGCAGGCTTTGAACCTGTGATTCTTTTTACTCAGCTGGGATTACAGGTGTGTGCCACCATGCCTAGCTTTGAACATTTACTTTTTATAATTTTATAATTAAATATTAAGTTCTTATTTAGAAGTAATTCATAAACAACCAAAAAACTACACCACTTAGCAGCTGTATGCAAAAATCCAGTGGAATTTATAACTTTTAAAAACCTTCAAAATATTAAGCTATACATTTAGTGAATCTTTGAGTTTTCCAGTTAATTTTGTAATTTTATTTACAACCAACTTCAGGTTGAAATTTTAGTATTATGCTGATATGTTGAGAGGCCTTGAGTTTGTGGGTACCACAAAACAATGAAGACTTTCAGTAAATTAAGGAACTAGTAGCATGGAGAATGCAAGATTATGATCAGTGAGAAAGGGGCAATAGTTTGCTACTTTCACTGGAGAGAAATACAGTAGGTACCTTAGCAAAGCTTTGGTGCAGTTCAAAACCCTTTCCTGGCATATGTCAAAGTATGAAACACCAACAATTTAAACACTTTTATTGGCTTTCTCGAGTTGGCAGAGAAGCCAGTTTGCTTGATGAAACAGTACTGGATTAGATACATAACACTGTGGCCATAGCTGTGAAGGATTCCATGTGGGTCAAGTGATTTTACGGTTTGATACTAGATTGACTTTACTGCAATCTAAATTCTTTTATTCAGTTTTCTTAGTTTTTCTTCTGAAGATAAATACACTTTGGCTTTATTTTTAAGCCATTAATAAAAAGTCTAGGTGTTGAGACTAACATCAGACTTCATTAATATGATGCTAGAAGGACAAAACCAGCTCTATCCCAACTAGTTGGAAAACCATGTGTGTTAGCTCTATAAATTTCTCATGCATTCCTGCCAAATGTGTCAGTTTCTTGATAAGTGCTTTATAAATTTGTTCCAGACTCTTGAAGACGAAGACTTCTGTAAAAACGTGTCATTGGCCACTGCGGAAAAAACAGCTGAGGCTCCACACAGTACAGATAACCACAAGCATGGGCATCAGCATCTTGGGGGCAGTGAGCTCTCCGAGAATAAGCAGCCGGAAGCACCCGACAATCCTGTGCTTTCTCCTCTCAACAATCCTGTGCTTTCTCCTCTAGGGCATCATCACCGCCGTGAGCTTATGCCCAACGGCCAACAGGGGCAGGGTCACTCAGAGAGCTGATTTATGTCAGAAAGTGAAGCTTTACAGCTCTCACTTGCACAAAGGAAGCTTTGCCATAGGGGATGTAAAAACCAGTTACTGTGTAAGTTCCCTTCAGATTCCCAATTAGCTCCTACTAGCTGTTGCTGCTATTGTCGACATCTGGTATTTGGAACAAAAGCGTCTTCAGTCACCTGCCAGTGTGCAGAAAACCTCCCATCTCTATGCAGCTGCCAGGGAGACTGGGTAGGGGAGAAAGTCATTGAATCTTGTCAGTGTCGACTGCCCCCAGCTGCCTGACAAATAAGGCAGCAGCAGAAGCCCACAGAAACCAACCGTGATTGAAGCTGAAACAGGGCACAAAAGTGAAAATGACCCTCAAACTAAATATTTAAAATAAGATACACTCCCCAAATCAATCAAGATACAACTTTATTTCCCAAATTTTTAAAGTACCTAATTAGTAAATTGGAATTGGATTCTACAAACATAAATCTAATAGATTGGCTTCGAAATTTTATGTCATGAAATTTTTTACTCAAACCACATTTTTATTATGGGGCAACTGAAAAGTGATTGCAGCTTTTGGTTAATATGTCTTTCTTGTGCTTTTTCCAGCATTCTATTTGCATTAATGAGAACAGAAACGTAAACTATGACCTAGGGGTTTCTGTTGGATACTTAGTAATTTAGAATGGAGGAAGAACAACAAAGACATGTTTTCCACTTTTTCTGTACTTATCTCAAAACAATATCATCTTTGTTTTTTAAATCTTACATTTTAAACTGATTAAATCCTTAGAGAAAAAAGTGAATTTTGTTTCTTAACACATGAATACTTTGCTAAAAAAGCATAATGACATTTTTAACTCCTCTAATTTTTCTATACCTATGACTCATAGCTTGATTTTTACTACCATACATAAAGTCTTTGTGTCTTATTTTCTTTATCTAGCATTATGTCACACTTCTGAATTTTGAATGGCTATAATGGGAAAGAAAGAAAAGAAAGAAAGAGAGAGAGAAAGAAAGAAATGTCTATCTTTAGACTGCTTAGAGGGTATTTCCATAGTCAATGATGGTTTAATAGGTAAACTAAATCCTGTAAACTTGAACTCTTTTATGGATAATACCATTAAGCAAGAATGCAGTACGTGATTGGCCAAGGTATGTATCTGTCTAAATAAAATGTTTAAAGCTGTCTCATTTATTTATTATTTAGACTATTTAGGCAGTAAGCTTATGTTGAAAATGGAAGTGAATTTTTCAATTTTTTTTTTTGCACCAGGGATCAAACTTGGGCCCTGCTTACAAAGCAGGTGGTAGAACCATTGAACTAAATTCCTGGCCCTCAATTGCTTTTTAAAAAGTAAATATTAATTAATGAATTTACTGTTGTACTCAAAATCGTTTACGTTTAAAATGAAAATCTTTGTCAATAGAAAGGCGCTGCTCCAAATCATGAATGGTATTACGAAGAACTGCAATCTCTTTATTTTTTTCTTCTTGAAGATGTTGAAGCTTCTAAATATAACAGAAAAGAACTTGTTATTGAAATTCATAAAAACACTAAGTACAAGGAACAACAATTAAAAATTACACATCGTGTTTAAGCATGTATATAAAAAGATACCTTATCTTTATTATTTGATTTTTGCCCCGTTTTTTGGTACCAGGGATGGAACTCAGGATCTTGCGCTTGTGAGGCAGGCAGCAAGCACCACTGAGCTACGTCCCAGGCCCCTATTTGATTTTCTTTTGAGACAGGGTTTCATTATGTGATTCAGGCTGGCCTTGAATTCAAAATTATCCTCCTGCCTCAGCTTCCCAAGTACTGAGACTGTGACATGTGCACCAGCCACCATGCCAAACTAAGATACTTTCTTTTGAAAAGTATATAATTTCAGTTTTGTGGGACATAATGAGGTGAAACTGGTTTAAGGACACAAAAACAAATCCTAGGCATATTATCAGTAAGCATAAGGATTTTTTAAAAACACAGTAAGGGAATATATTTTAAGTAACAGTCATAAGATTGAAACTCACATACCCTTCTGTAGATACTCTGTGGGGAAATAGTAGCATCTGGATATGATTTTGATTTAGTCTGAATTCTTGCTAGTTTGGCATCAAACTGAATGAAATTTAAAAAGATAGTTAGTTCTAGTTCAACAACTAGACAAGCTTCTATAAATCTATAATCCATGATATCCTTTGAGATACACTCTATAAGTTTATTTTTTTATATAATGGAAAAATCACTAAGAAACCATTTTCAAGAAAGAGCAAAGAACATCCAAACAAGACTAAACCCGATTGCATGTTAAAATTACCTGGAGAACTTTTAAAAAGTACCCAATGTCTGGGCATCTTAGGGATGCTGGGGAATGGCTAGCATCTTTTTCTCAAAATAGTTAAGTCTCAGCCAGAGACTGAGGGTCTAGTTTAACTTAAAAATAGATAAAAATATTTTCACATTATTTAGACTGTATTTTTGTCAAGAAAATGTAATATCTATCTATCTATCTATCTATCTATCTAATCAACCATTGTAGGAGAAAAACTCACATAGCCTTCTGTAGAAACTGAATCTGAACAGTAGAATTTGGTATGATTTGTTGATTTAGTTTGAATTTTTCCTGGTTGGAATTCAGCTGAATTAAAAAATGTTCAGAGGCTATTCTTACAAGCAATTATTTTTGTACATACAATATGTCAATAAAATCCATGCCTTCAGACTTAGAGTATCCTCTCTTAGGTCTAAATAAACTCTATAGGAGATTGTTTCTAGTTTGACAAAAGAAATGGATTGTTACAATGACGACAAACAACAGAGTTTTGTATACCAAATAACAGACTTGGGCTAGACCAGTGACATAGCCCAGATAACAAACAAAGTTCAAATTCCCAATCAGTAAAACTTGGTAGTAGATCTTGAAACAAGGCCTATTGTATTCCATCTGGTCATCTAGCCCCCTCTGTAATTTGTGGGTACACTTTGCCAGAAGGAGCAGAAGTAGCATAAAGTAAACCTAAGTCCCCTTTCTGCCCAGTGATTATACATGATACCTCATCAAGCACTCCAGGAATACCAAAGTTTCTGGAAAATAAAGTCAGTCATCTTAAATATTAGACCTGAGAATTTTATAAGACAAAATAAAGTGAGAGTCGAGGCAGAAGGAAACTATGAAAGAAAAATGGAAAGGGAGTATGGTAAAATCTAGTAAAAAAATTACAGAACAAGCATTTTGCAAAAATATCAATATCTTTGAGATTTTAACAGCTTCTTAACCTACTGAAAAGGCTTTAGAACAAATAGCTACAGCCTCTCAACCTATGAGATCCCCTGTTTGAAGTCCCTTTAATTTTCCTTTTTAAAAATTATTTTAGAAATTTGGTTTGTTTGCCCCACAATACATATTTTTCCAGAAGTTTATTAGGGAGAAGTTTGTGTTTTCATCTTCAAAATAAAGAAGAAGAAATTACTAGTGGGTTTTCAAGAATTTCCCAGTTTCTGCTGGGGGGAAAGTAAGATTAAAAACTCTGCAACACCGGTTGTCTTATGAAGCCTGCATAATCTTGACTATAATATGCAGGTAATTTCTGAAGTATCTGACCCTGCTCTCACAGGAAACAATACCTTGCCCAGAAACCAAAACCTTCAGGACAACTGGAGTTCTACTCTCAGGTGCAGTACTAAAAGGTAGTGCCCATGATCACTGTTTGGTGACTGAGCACTGCATTTGATGAAGAATCAGAGTATGGAAGTCCTCTCACAGAATTGTTTCTAGTCCTGAAATTTATCTCATTGTGATGAAAAACAAAGTACGATATAGACTAAGGAATGTACAGTATCAAGTTTATCAGACTCTTAAACACCTACCTCCAGCTGTAGTTTGATTATATCATTTTGCTTTTCTTTTTCTTGAGTTATTAACTTTGTGTTTAACTCTGAAATTTCCATCTCCTTTTTCTTTATCAGATTTTTGTGCTTTTCTTCATTTAATTCAACTGAATAAAACAAAAAATACATGTATTTAATATTTCAAAATATATGCTTGTATTAAATATTGTGAATAATTCAAAACAAAGTAAATTTTATTAGTAAAACATTTTAGAAATTGTTTTATATGTAGGGCATATTTTATATATTTTTGACAGGATCCTGTAAAATGTTTGAAACACAAAAGCTACTCATAAAATGCTTTTTATGAAGAAACTAATTTGTACTCTTATGTATCGACAACTTAGAAGATATGAGATTTAGTGCTTAAAGTATGACACAAAGCTTGGATTCCAAGGTTCATAGAAACCAACTACTCAACAACTCCAGAACTATAGCAAGACTCTGCTATACTCTTTCATATGATCAGGCCTCTCTCAGGTTCACCTTATGGCTGCATGTGTCATCAAATTTTCTCTTTCTTGTTAATAACAACACTCCATCTAGGATGAAAACATCAAGGAAATTTTTGACTTTAAAGAGAAACATGTCAATTAGTCTAAAAATCCACAAAAATAAGGAAATTTATCATTTCATATCTAGCTTTTGTGTTTGATTGTAGGTCTTTTTTTTTTTTTTTTTTTGTTTTTTGGGACAGGGTCTCCTTTTTTTTGGGATTGCTACTCACAGCGATCCTCTTGCCTCAGCCTCCTGAGTGCTGGGATTACAGGTGTGCACCACCACACCTGGCTGATTGTAGGTCTTTTTGACCACAGTAACTTTAGATTCAACACTAGATAAAGATGCAACAGCCTTCCATAGACTTCACCACTTCACTGTGTCCATGTGCTCTTTTCTGTGTGTCATCTTCTTGCCTTTCCTTCCCTCAGACTGATCTATAGTTTCTTCTAATCTACCCTTAAATTTACTAATTTTACTTTGTTTTATTTCATTGGCTACAAACCAATACAGTGAAATTTTATTTTCAATTACTCTATTATTCTCAATTTTCCATGCATTTAATGGTTAAGAATTTCTAGTTCTCCATCAAAATTCCCCATTCCGTTTTAAATTTATTGATTATGTTAATCAGGATTATGAAATCTATAATTGATAATGCCACTATCTGGATCATAAATGGATCTTTGTTTCCTTTTAAAAAATTTTTATAATTGATTTTGCTTAGGTTATTTTATTTTTAAAATCAGGTTTATTGAAACACAATTCTTATATAGCAAAATTCTGTATTAAGGCATATAGTTTGATGAACTTTGACAAACCTATATAATAATATAATTCATTACCACAATGAGGAAATAGAATTGTTCCATTACTTCAAAGAGAATATTTGTACTCCTTTGCAATTCATCTCTTCATATGCTGGAAAACACTGATCTAAATTTCTCCTTTTTAAAGAAAGTCATATAAACAGAATCACACCATATGTAGCCCTTTAAATCCAGCTTCTTTCATTTACCATAATGCTATGTTTTCCCCACTTTGGTACTTGGATCTAACCTAGGGCCTTGCACATGCTAGGCTTAAGTATATTCCCTTTATTGTTATTATTATTTTTGTGATAGTGTCACTAAGTTGCCAGACTGGCCTCCAACTTGCAGTCTTCCTGTCACAGTCTCCCTAACTGTGATATGTTTTAAGGGATCACACAGTTTAAAAGTAGAGGAGGGTGGTCACATCTTGGAGCAGAGAGAGGGAGGACAGGTGAGGCAAGATTTGCTTCTTTATAACAATCCTTTCATGATAACACAAGGGGTTGCATAAGAACTACAAGTGGTTGTGCACAAACAACCTCATATATTCAATGATTCAAAACCTCTCACTAGGCCTCACCTCCCAACAATGTGACCCTAAGGTCCAAGTCTTTAATCGCAGTGGAGTTTTGGGGGACACAAAACTATTCAAGCCATAGCAGCCCTCCAATTAAGAAATCTTCACACTTTGCTTAGTTCCCAAACTTAAACCAGTATTTTGGATCTAGAGTTGACTGGTTAGACTTCTAGGGAAAATAAAACACTTTACAAACCTCTGTTCCAAGAGTACCCTAAGGAAAGAGCCCCACAGGAACCATGGGAAAGTTGCTACCTGAACCCATGTGGAAAGTAGGTCTGTGTAGAAAAAGGGTAGATGGCTGTGGCTATGAAAATGCACCTTTTATATCTACAACTTCAGAAAGCAAAATTGGCTTACAGTTTTATGACCAGGTTGATGCTCGTGCCATGCTTCCCAAAAGCTTCTCTTGGCCAACAAGTGGGCTTGGCAGACATAGTAAGGCAAGCTCGTTCCTGAGAGTTGCAGAAGTCTTTTCATTAGCAACTTTGGCTCAACTTTACTGAAAATTTCTTAGAAATGTGTTATGGTCAAAGACTTTTCCAATTCAAAATTTCTTCCTTTTCTTCTTCATAGAGGTGAAATTTGAATCAGAGACTTGAGAATTCACCCAGACTCTTCCAGTTCCCTCTCAATCTGCCCTCATAAATGTCTTTCCCCAGAAAATCTCTTGAATGTTGTGATCACTAATGTTGCTCTCTTAACTTCATTAGATTAATAGACACTTAGCAGATTAGTAAAGCCTGTTCCTGGTTGTAGCTGGGTAAGTCATGGATGTGTGGCTTTGAGTACTGTATATGGTCCTCACCCATTCCTCTCTGATACTGCTCCTCTGCTTTGCTCCCCGGCCACCAAGAACTGAGGAGCTATGCACTGCCACATGCTGCTGCCATGAAGTTTCTGCCTTGAAGACTGCCTACAATGATGGATTCTCCCAAACCATGAGCTAAACTAGAGCTAAATTAAACTTCTCCTCCTTTAAGTTCTAGGTGTTGGGTGTTATGTCTCAGTGCCATGAAGCTGATCAACACAAGTGTCTAATCAAGTCTTAGCATCTGCTTCTCAGAGTACTTAACACACTGGTTCTTTAATTTTAAAAGAAATTGACATTTTAAAAAAAAGGCAGTGCCATTTTATAGTCTCAACAATAGTGCGTGAGAGTTCAAATTGTTCCACATTCTCATCTACACTTGGGAATAATAGTTTTTAATCCTGTATTGGTACAAGGTAGTATTTCATTGTAGTTTTAATTGCATTTTGCTGTTAACTAACTGATATATTTATACAGATGAATATGTGACAATACATAAATCCTAAATTAAGGCAGTATTCATTCAAGAATACTAGATACTGCTCAGAAAATTTACATGTGTCTTTCAATTGTTTTATGATGCCATAGAATTCAGTAAATTAAAAATAAAAATCTTACCTTTTTTCTGCATATCTTGATAAAGTTTGCTTATTTCTATCTTATGTTCTTCCTCTTTGATTTTCATTTCTTGTACAAGTTTGGCAATATTACTCTTATATTCCTAAAAATAAAATATATATTTTATATATCTCACATTTTTGGATTAAAACATTTAAAATCTACTCTTCTGGAAATTTTCAAGAATAAAATACATTGTAATTAACTATAATTGCTATGTTGTAAAAAAGAGCTCTTGAAAATTTTGTATCCTTTCACCAATATCTTCCCAGTCATAGCTTCTCTTCCAGCACCCCCAACAATCACAGGCCCTGTTCAACACCACTATTTTCTGTTTCTATGAGATCCAAGAGAAAGACCACTTTCTGATTCAAGGATATAAAGATCATATAGAAACAATGTGTATTTTGGTTTTTTGAAACAAGGTCTCCCTGTGTAGTCTAAACTGGCCTTGACCATGTGGCAATTCTCCTGTCTCAGCCTTCTGAGTGATGGCATTACAAGTGAATACAGCTATGCTCAGCTTTTTGGAATTTTTTTTTCTTTTTCTTTCTTTTTTTTTTTTTGGTATGGGGATCAAATTCGGGTCCTTGCTCTTGCTAGGCAGGTGGCAGAACCACTGAACTAAATCCCCGGCCCTGCTGTTTGGATTTTTGCTGTTGTTGAAATAATGTCTTTTTATCTTTGTTTTCTGGATATTCATTATTAGTGTGTAGCATATCCTACATACTTAAAATATTTTGATTATTTGTATGAATAAATGTTCCTACAACATTAAAATATAATATAAACCAAAGCTACAATTTAAAGTTTATAGAAGGAACTCTGACAACTAGAAAAATTAATGTAGTCTCAGACCTTTGAAAGTAAGCTGAACAACTATTTCTCAAAAATTATACAAATATTCCTAATTTTTAGAAAAAAGTAAAAAACTACTCAAGGTAAGTATTAGCTTTATGAGGAAGCACCAAAAGAGTGATGAATTTAAAATTTGAAAATTCCTCAACAGTTGTTGAAATTAGCTTCACAAGCTACTGATATATAGGGATGATTTATTATTCTAATAGCAAAAAGAACATTCATAGTGGTAATGGAAGAGAAATCCCTCAAAGACACATTTTACAATTTTCCAGGGTTATTATTCTACATAAAGAAATTAATCACAGGCTTAAGATATAGACAAGTGAAAAAGAATGTGGAAAGAATAAAAGCTAAGTAGGATAGTAAGAAAAAATAATAAAGGCAAGAGGTCAAGAAAAGTCTGTAAACACCATAAGAGCTGGGACTCACCAATGCATTCTCTCTCTACCCCTACCTCTATCTCTCCCTTCCTCTCTCCCTACCTCTCTAATATCTGGATGTACATTTGTTGAATAGGAAGGTCAATAAGCATTATTTAGGTCAGATCTCTTAGCCTAGACGCAACAAATGGGCTTTTCAGAGTCCATTAACTTATTGAAATTTTATGCAAAAGTTGTGTACATGTATTTTTTTTAGAGAAGGTTAATAACTATTAATAGATATTCAATGATGTGGAGGAGGTAAAACAAAACAAGACATCAAAAAGAGTCAAGAGGTACTGGCTTATACAATTATGCTTGAAAACATACATTGTTACAAATTACCATAGTTCAAGGGGTATAATCCAGATTCCTACTTGTGTTACTTATCTTGCCATTCAATTGTAGGAATGGCCAATCCTATCTAACTCCTTGGCTATGATTAAAGGTGAGCAGATAATTAACAGGGTGAATGTTACAAGTTGCCATTTTCAATTATATGTATATCTAGGTTTCTAGATAGTCAATTAGAAAGAGTGGCTTCTAAAAACTACATTGAGTATACCAAATCGCTGCTTCTTTGAGAGAACATAAGAGAAAATTCTGTGTACCTTCCCATCTCCACTGACTTTGTCACCTGAAGATGCCACCACTAAAGTGGTGGTAAGACTGATTTTTCACTCCAGCCTCCAGGTATAAGGTTATCCTAACATCTGAGAAGAGCTGGATTGTATCAGTATGTTCTTCTCCCTCACTTAAACCTGTGCTAGCTCCAACTAATGGATTTAATTTCTTTTTTTTCCCCCTAAGGGGACCAAGCACAAGTAAATTACAGTTGGTTGCCTTTATTTTCTCATTTGTTTTCTGGGAATGTTAAATTTCAAGGGACAGTCTCTGCTTGAATTCTTTTTTTTTTTTTTTTTTTTTGAGTTTATTGGTACATTTAGGGATACAGTACAGTTACATTCATTGTTGGGATCATGTAGATTGCTTGAATTCTTTTTATAGAACTTATGGATTTTTTTTCTTTTTAAAATTTTAACCCAAATTGTACTGTTCAAAACAGCTTCATTGTTCTTTATAACAAAAAATTGTTATAAACTTGAATTTACATAACAAATTAAAACTAACAAAATAAATAACTTTATACCTCTGCTTTATATCTTGGAGTTCAACGACAACAAAAAATGTTTGATTTTGGAAGGAGAAAGGGTGTATTTTAAATGTTAAAAAGCCACTGTCCTAAGGAACAAAGTACTTAGCCAGGAGAGTCAGGTAACAAACCAAGGGATTTTCTAAGTTTACTTTATAAAAATTCTCTAAGCACCACAAATATCACCATTAAGAATCTACAGAGTTTGCTTCTAGGAGTGGTTCTGCATGAATTCGTTGGTTGGTTTTGTATTAGCCAATTCTCATTGTTCAAGGTAAATTTTTAGTTTGTATTGGATGGTGGCTGATTAATAAATTAAGAATTTTAGTGCACAGTATTTTCTCTTTATTTTCCGCCTCTTTGAATGTTTCTATAGTATTGCAGACAAAACAGTACTCTAGAGCTTGAAGTTTTAGAAAAGAAAAGGTCAAATTTTCTCCTTGCCCCAATTAAAAACTTACTTCATCATCTCTAAGGCAAGGATGTCCAACCCATGACACTGGGGCTACATGGGTCTGGACACTATTAATGTGATCCCATGAGATCATAAACTTTTAAGATTATTAGATAAACTTTAGTGATACTTTTTGACTGGATTGCACAATGCTGGAGCTAAGCCTATGAAATTGTGCAACCGAATATTGCACAGGGGAGGCTGCATTTCAGTGCTAACTTCACCTCTTGTGCCCACCACAGTTAGTGCAATGAAATCTGTGTATCAGAGGTTACATGTAGTTACGTGGCTTAGTGAGTGAAATGTAGCAAGTACTAGCAATAGTATTTCAACGTGTGTGTGTCTGTGCTGCGAAGACAGGTGTTTATTGTAATTAAGCAGATATGTAAATTTTCTTACTTAAAGTTGGGCTTGTTATGTTATTTCATAAAAAGTTATAATATAAAAAATAAAGGAAGTTTTGTTACTTACACACATTAATGACATTATATATTTTATACGTGGCCCAAGACCATTTATCTTCCCTCTGTGTGACCTAGGCTCTAGAGCCAAGATATGGATGGGTTCAGGAAAGAATAAAAGAAGGAAGGAAAAGAAAGAGAAAAAAGAGTGTTGTACAACCCAGAGATACTTAACCTACCTCAAAGTTGATGATAAAAAGCTAAATTTTTCCAAGCACACAGCCAGAATTTAGAATTCTTTTCATGATTGGAGAATGTTACTCACAAGTTCTGGGCATGTTTCTAGACTTAGTTGACTTCATGCAGGGGCTCCTTACATGGGGAATCATACCGAATTTAGAGAAGATCCTTCAAGTTAAAGCCTGTTACAGATCTAATTTGAGTTTTGGAGACCTTAGATCTGCCAGATTTTGATATATTGGCTCTTGGGAGGAATAAAATGTTAGCATAATAAGCCTCCCAAAGAGCAGAGAGGTGGGACCTGACATTTAACAAGTACTTTTTGCTTTTTAGGCACTGTGTTGCATGTTCTGAAACTGTTATCACTGTATTGTCCCTATAGGAGAGAAGAATATGCAGCAGAGGGTACCGTGGCCATTGGAAGAGAATCAATTTGTGATCTACATAAAATGCCCACTTTATATGGATGATATAATGATTACCCATAACGTAATTATACTCATTTATTTTGTATTAAAAAAGGTAAAAAATATACACTAGCATAAAAACACTATTAACACAATTAAAAAGTACAGCAAAATAACTGAGGCTCTTTTAAGTAGGAAGAAAAAGACAATACAAATTATATATTAGTATATTCTATTTTAAAAAATCTAAAACATCATATTAAAACATATTACAGCGACACATGCATACCTTTACTTATAGCAGCATGTTTTAGTTAGTTTTCTTGTTGCTGAAACAAAATACTTGAAACTCAAAGTTAAAGGAGTAAAAGTTTATTTAGGCTTATAGTTTGTAGAGGTTTCAGTTCATAGTTGGCTGGCATCAAAGCAGGTTGGCATGGCAGAGGGGCATAGCAAGGGAGAAACAGTTTGTGACAAGGAAGGCAGAAGAGCAAGACATAAACAGCAAGAGACAACAGCAGCCCTCTTTCTGTCCCTTAAGTTTTATCCAGGCTATTTACCTGTAGGGTGGGTAGCACTCAGACTCAAGGTGGGGCACCCCTTAATCCTAGCATGACGCAATGAATCAACCCCAGTATCACATTCTTGATCCCAACATCACATACTCTAGATCCAGTCACCTCCGAAGAGCCCCACATATGACTGCATGAGGCTTTTTTGGGACATTTAGATACAAGACACAACACAGCACAATTCTTAATAGATAAATATCAGAAGTGGCCTATTATGTCCATCAATAGATAAATGGATAAAGAAAATGTGGCATTTAGACACATTTAGACAATAGAGTACCACTATGCCATAAGGAAAAATAAACGAGTCAACTGTAGGAAAATGGATACACCTTGAGACCATAATGTTAAATGAAATAAATCCGACACACAAGCTTAAATATAATATGATTTCTCTTATATGAGAAGCCAAGAGTCAAAATAAAGAGCAAAATAAAAGATAGATAACAGGAAGTAGGGAGATAGGTCTTTCTTAAATGGGAAGAGGATTAAGAGATAGGGAGGGAAGGGAGAGGAGATGCAAAAAAGGAATTAACATGTGTTACATACATTTACCAACTCCATGTGAGAAATGTAAACACTATGTACTGCAAATATGCCCTAATTTAAAAAAAAGACTAGGATTCTCAAAACTTGTATTACTTTTAAAATAAGTTTTCACTTATTGAAAATGTTGACATATAAAAATATAGACAAAATAGCGATAATTTTGAAATATAAAATATTAATAATTTTGACATAAATTAAAAAATATATAAAAATACAGGCCAGGGATTTAGCTCAGTGGCACTGTGCCTGCCGCTCAAGCACAAGGTCCTAGGTACAATCCCTGGTACAAAAAAAATAGTGATACACATACAAATTTTGGTTGTGTTTATTAATAAGGGCAATCTGTTTTTTTCTAATTTGTATAAACAAATGTTCTATAATGACTTAATTGAATACAGTTATATATAGATTCACCTGTTCGTGAGATTTTAGCTTTTCTCTTATCATATCAGCATTTCTTTTCAGTTGTTCATTTTCACCTGTGTAAAAAAAAAATCATCAAATAACAACCAAATTTATAGCATTTTTAATTAATATGGCAATGTGTTGAACATTCTGACTTCCTTTTATGTATGTATTCAAACAAATATACATCTAGCACCCTGCACTGGGAATGTAGAAATAGAAAGTTATTGTTCTTTACAAGAGGATACAGTTTAGTGGTGAAAAAGATGTATAAGTAGTTACAATGTGCATGATTATAGTTCTAAAACATAAGTATGTCTGAAATATTGTGGGAACCTGGAGAAAAAGAGCTTAGTTCTGCTTAAAGTCAGGAAAAATGGAGAAGAGGATCACCTTAGCTGTGAGCCAAGGATAAGGTTTATTTTATATTAAGGGAGGAAATGTCAGCTACACGCCCATACAGACTGGAGGAAATGACAAACATGCAATTGCTCGGTTTTAGAACTCCCATTCTCTCCATTAGAAGAAACTTATGTGTGAAAATTGACACATAATGAACTTGCCTATAAAATAAGGAATATTATTCCATCTATCAATTTCCATAAGCTTATCTGCTTTGATATTTTTAGATAAAATAAGTATAAATAGGAATTCCAATCTTTTTCTATATCTGAATATATCATATTCTATACAAGCCATAAATTCCTACTGAAAAGATTCATGAGCATAAAAGGAACTATCATTTCTCTCACTGAAACTGAAAAGGCTCACAAATACCAAGGGAAATTGATTCACAAGGTCAATAAAGTTACTAAGAAACTACATTATTTTAGTGTCATCTGCCATTTTCAGGGCTGATGTGATCTTCAGGCTGAAAACAAGAAGTCTGAAACAATTTCAAGCATCATATATAGTCACATAACAGCCAGAAGAACAGAGTCCATCTTTTGGAGGAGAGGAAAAATTTCCTCTCTTGGAGCTAGGGTACAATTAGCTTCCCCTGAGGCAGATAGTTAACAATGGGTTAATTACAGAAAAAATATTGTTTAAAATATTCAATAGAATATTTTTCAGCCTTAAAAAACAAGGAAATCAGGCTTGGAGATGTGGCTCAGTGGTAAAGCTTAGCATGCTTGAAGTCTTAGGTTTGTTCCCCAGCAATAACATTGGGGGAGTGGGGGAGGGGAGAGGAAGGATATCTTGCCATTTGTGACAATATGGATGAACCTGGAGAACACCATGACAAGTGAAATGAACCAGATACATAAAGACAAATATGTATTATTTGAATTATATATCTGAAAGAATTTAATTTATAGAAATAGAAAGTAGAAAAGTGGTTATTAGAAGCTGTATATATGAAGTATTTGGTCAAGAGATACCAGTTTCAGTTACAGTTGAGAAATAAGTTTTAATGATCTGAAGTTCCAGAATATGAATTATAGTTAACAGTATGTATATATACTTGAAATTTTCTATATTATACATTTGAAATTTGTTAAAAGGGTAGATCTTAAATGTTCTCACCCCCTTTTCCACATATGTAACTATCAGAGAGGTAATGGATGGTGGTGAATTGTCTTAGTTACTTTTCTCTTCTTTTTGTTTTCATTTACTTTTCTCTTCTTGCTGAGACAAAATATCCAACACCCAAAGTTAAAGAAGGAAAGGTTTATTTAGCTCACAGTTTGTAGAGGTTACAGCCCATAATCAGCTGGCTCCAAGGCAGAGTGGCATGGAAGATAGGAATTGCAGAGAAAAAGTTCATGACAGGCAAAAGGCAGCAAAGCAAGCAAGAGGGGTAAGACAAGTGTCTTTCTGTTCCTTATATTACATCCAGGCTACCAGGACTAGGGTGGTCTCAAGCCAATCAGTCGACTGATTACCCACCCTTAATCCTAGTTCTCTTAATTTTAGCACTGCACCATCAATCAGTCAATCACACACTCTAGATTCATCTTCCTCTGAAAAAGCCTCACACACAACTGCATGAAGTTTTAGGGCATCTAGACAAAAGCCATAACATGAATATTTTACAATATATACTTACAATCAAATCATTGGGTTGTACATCTTAAATATATAATTTTTATTGTCAACGTTATTTCAATAAAATTGGAAAGAAAAAAACCCTTATACTGTCAAATCTGTGAAAAGATATGCTTGACTGTTGATCATCATTTTATATCTTCTATACAAATGCTTAATATATTCATAATTGTTTTAATAGAACTTTAAAGTATTTAATTTATATTAGTTTTTGAACAAAATCATGCAAGAGTTAAATTAAATATCATGTGGCTCCTAGAATAAGAGGCCTAGAGAAGATTATGAACTTTCACATATTTATTTAATCTGTGTAGGTGTCACCTAGAAGGAAAACTTGTTCAAGGTTCTCAGCTTTGAGATGGTGGCATGAAGGTCTCTACTTTAAGTGGAAGAAATGGGAGGAAAGTATGAACTAATATTATTTAAGGTATCGCTCAACTAAAAAATTAGACAGTAACATGCCAAATTACAGAAATGACACGTAAGGTCAATATTTCACTTTATTAACATCTGTAAAGTATTTTATTTATGGATGAAAATAGGCCTAAGATAAATGCTTACTTACGTGAATTTTATGTTGGAAGAGGTCCTTAAGGCAATTTAGTCTAATACCTGATATAGTGGAGGGAAGAAAATCTTATAGGCACTGACAGCTCAATCAAGAAGAGTACACAGCACTTGGTTGCTGTTTAGCAAATGGCAGGCTCACTGGGTTAGGATAATTATTAAAAATGAGATAAGGTGAATATGTTGGCTTCACTTGCACAAGTATAGTCTCAGTGTATGACAAAAATTAAATGGTAAGTCATCACTGTGGCTTGAATAGAATATTCACGATTTAACTAGTAAATGCTAGTCTTTCAAACCTGAACATAGGTTTATAAAACTCAAGAATGATAGTGAGAGTAAATAGCTCTTTGTACGTGTGGGTTCCCCTGGACTCAACCAATATTTAAAATGTCGTGTCTGCACTGCACATGTTTACATTCTTTTCTTGTCATTTTTTCTTAAGTAACATGGTATAACTCTTTATATAGCACTTACATTATGTAAAGTATTATAAGTAATGTAGACATGATTTGAAGTATGGAGGAAGTAAACAGGCTAAATGCAAATACTATGCTATTTTATATGAGTTACCTGAGTGTCTACAGACTTTTGCTTTTTGTGATGGTCCTAGAAACATTCCCTAGAGAATACTGAAGGACAATTGTATACTTCTAAATACTTAAAAGTAATAAAAGAATAGTTATGATCTACTGTAGAACATCTGATTTCCTCGTCAGATAGGATATGGTGGAAACTTTCTGTTCAGCATAGCATTTATATCACAATCTTTAAAAAAGTGTTTTGTTTTTGTTATAGGGGCTGAACTTAGGACCTTGCACTTCTAAGGCAGGCACTAAACTAAATTCCTGGCCCTAAAAAGTATTTCTAAGTAATATGAAGTTCTGCTATTATCTGATGAACTGAATAATTCCCAATTAATAGGAGCTTGTCAACAAAACTAAACAATGCTATTTTTTAACAGATGTTCAAACAAATCATGCTTACTTAAGTTTTTTCTCCAACCTACCTTTCAAATTGTGTTGATATTCAATAGTCTGTTGTAGTCCTTTTATCACATCATGAAGAGCAGCACAATCTAAAACATAGAATAAATTTCTCTGAAAATCCTTTGCTTTAATTTTGGAATTATTCTCAGTTGAAATAATTTAAAAAAGCAATATCTGACATAAACATAAATTATATAGTAGGGATTGAACCCAGGGCCTCACATGTACAGGCTAGCACTGTACTCCTGAGTTACATCTCCAGCCCCAAATATTTATGATTTATTTTATTTTGAGGCAGGTTCTTAGTAAGGTGCTCAGAATAGCCTCAAATTTTAAGTATGGTCATAGTGCCTAGCCAATAAATACTTTTAGTCACTCTTTAAATCAAGTGTATTGCAAGATATAGGAATGGGTTTTCTAAAGCACATTACAGTAAGGATTCTCTCATGTGCCTTAGCAATGTCTTCCCTGAAAGTAAGGCACACGTAGACCTGTTTGGAGAGTTATGTGGAAGGTATCCGTGCATATCTTCCATGAAAAACACCCTAGAAAAAGTGAGTCAAATTACATTTTTTTGTTCACGATAAAGGTCCAGATGTGGTACAAGATGTTTTTCTTACTGTCCTCTAGCTTGTCCTCCTAATACTTATGCCTAAATTTCAGGGAAGGGAATTAGCAACAAAAAGATTAAAAACTCAGCAATACTCCCAAATTCATTCCTGGAAACAAGCATCACCTTGATCCCCAAAGCAGAGAAAGACCCAACCAAAAAAGAGAACTGTAGGCCAATCTCACTAATGAACATAGACACAAAAATCCTTAATAAGATACTGGCAAATAGAATGCAGAAGATCATCAAGAAGATCATATACCCTGACCAACTGGGATACATCCCAGGGATGCAGGGATAGTTCAACATATGCAAATCAATAAATGTAATATACTATATTAATAGAGCCAAGGACAAAAAACATATGATCATCTCAACATATACAGAAAAAGTGTTCAACAAAATCCAACATGAATTCAAGAGAAAAACCCTACAAAAAACTGGAATAGATTGTCTCTAACTCAATCTGATAAAAGCCATATATGAAAAACCAACTGCCAATATCATACTAAATGGTCAAAAACTGAAATCCTTCACGCTAAAATCAGGAACAAGACAAGGATGCCCACAATCGCCACTCCTGTTCAATAGTTTTGGAAACATTAGCCACAGCAATTAGACAAGAGAGAGAAATAAAAGGAATAAAGATAGGAAATGAAGACAAATTGTCATTATTTGTAATGACATGATACTCTATATAGAAGACCCCAAGAACTCCATCAAAAACCTTTTAGACTTAATAAGCAAATTCAGTAAAGTAGCTGGATACAAGGTCACACACAAAAATCAACAGCTTTCCTGTACAAGAACTCACTGAGAGAGAAACGGGGTAATCAATTCTTTTTACAATAGCATCAAAATAATTGAAATACCTAGGAACATACCTAATGAAAGAAATCAAAGACCTCTACTCTGAAAACCATAGCACTCTGAAAAAAGAGATTAAAGATATCTGAAAATGGAAAGACATCCCTTGCTCCTGGGAAGGAAGAAGCAACATAGTGAAAATAGCCATACTTCCAAAACTGCTATATAGATTCACTGCAATGCCAATTGAAATCCCAGCAGCATACTTCATAGACCTTGAGAAAACAATCCTAAAAGTCATTTGGAACCAGAAGAGACCTAGAATGGCAAAAGCAATTCTAGGCAATAAAGACAAGGTAGGTGGTATTGCAATCCCCATCTTGAAACTATACTACAAAGCTACTGTGATAAAAACAACATAGTACTGGCAAAGAAACAGACCTGAGGATCAGTGGAACAGATCAGAAGATGCAGAAACAATTACATATAAACTCATCTTCAACAAAAGAGCCAAACAACCTCCCTGGAGGAAAGATAGTCTCTTTAATAAATGGTGCTGGTAAAACTCGGTTTCAACTTGCCAAAGATTAAAACTAGACCTATATATCTCAACATTCACTAAACCAAAATAAAAGTGGATTAAAGATCTAAATATTAAAACAGAAACACTATACTGGCTGGAAAGAGGTTAGGTAGAACTCTTGAAGAAATCGGTGTAAGAAAAGATTTTATGAGTAAAACCTCAGTTGCCCAAGAATTAGCACAAACAATCAACAACTGGGATGCCTTCATATTAAAAAGCTTCTGCACAGCAAGAGAAATGACCAACAGTGTGATAAGACCACCCACTATGTGGGAAAAAATTTTCACCAAAGGTCTAGAATATATCTAGAATATAGAAAGAACCTAAAAAAATCAGACCTCCCAAATTTAAAGACCCAATCCAAAAATGGGCATCTGAAATGAACAGACATTTCTCAGACTAAGAAGTACAAATAGCAAATAAACATATGAAAAATGTACAACATCACTGGTCATTCAAGAGATCCAAATGAAAAAAGCTCTGAGATTCCACCTCACCCCAGAAAGAAAGGCTGCTATCGTGAAATCAGACAACAACAAATGCTGGTGGGGCTGTGGGGAGAAAGGAACCTTGCTCCACTGCTGGTGGGAGTGCAGACTGGTGCAACAATGTGAAAATCAATAAGGAGATACCTCAAAGAGGCGGGACTAGAGCTTCCATCGGACCCAGCTATCCACTTGCTGGGTATCTTGCCCAAAGAATTAGAAGAATCACATCACAGTGATATATGTGCACCCATGTTTATAGAGGAACAGTTTGTAATAGCTAAAACTTGGAAATAGTCTATTGCCCATCAACTGGAGACTGGATAAAGAAAATGTTTTTAAAGTAAAGTGGAGTACTACTCAGCCATAAAGAATGAAAAATTAGACATTTATAACTAAATGGATGCAGACTGAGGGGATACTCTTAAGTGAAATAAATAGGACACACATGTGTAAATACCAAATAGTTTCTCTGGTGTGAGAACGTGAAAGTGTAAACAAGGACAAAAAGGTATAATAGATAATGTGAAATAGGAAGAAAAGGGGCAAAGGGGAAGGGGAAGTGGGAGGGGTAGGGAAAAGGAAAGAAGGGAATGGAATTAATATGAGAAAATGAAAAACTGGAAACAAAGTCTTTGTAAATAGGGAGGGGTGGAGGGGTTGAAGGGAGGGCAGGAGAATAGGGAAAAAATTTAGAACCAAGATAGATTATGTAAAGGTACAAATTTCCAATGATGAATGTCATTATATTGTGCACCTAAAATGTACCAATGAAATTAATGAAAAAAGATTAAACACTCAACGATATCTGTTACAACTCCCCTGCTAAAGTTTCTTTTGTTCTAATTGGGGTATTGGAAGATGACTGGATCATGGGGGTGCTACATTCGTTATAGGGTAAGTCCACTGATGAGTTCTTAGCTGAATGTACTGTTGGGGAGGTAGGGCCTGCGAGGAAGAGGTGAGTCATTTAGGGGCATCAACTGGAAGGGGGTGTTCTTATCCCTACCCTCCTCCCTTCTCTCTCTGCTTCCTGGCTGCCAAGAGGTGAGCAGCTACCTTATGCAGAGCCTTATGTGATATTGTTTCTGCCTTGCAGTCAGCTCACTTTGGATTGAGCCCACTGTAACTGTGAACCAAAATAAACCTCTCCTCCTTTAAGGTGTTGGCATTAGGTATTTGCCTCAGCAAATTAAAAGTGACCAATACAAACTCAGTGGTAGCTTTACCCAGCATAATAGCTTACTAATGGGAGATAGAATCTGCTGTAAAGGCTAAAGTCCTTATGTGTGCACTTAAGCCTAGATCACACTGCTACTTATCATCAGCAATAGCCACACATTTGATGTGGAGCAATAGTGGTGAGTTCTGTGACATTAGGAGTCTGCATAGCTTTAGGCTCCACAGGAGCAGGGACTAGTCTTTGTATTTATTGCCAAATATTTCTCCCTAGTACTTAAAGGACTTGTCTACCATAGGTAATCTGCAATTATTTGTTGAGTGATTGATGTATAGACAGGCAATATTATTGTAGGTATGAAGAGGAAAGGGACAAGTGGAAAAGCTCTGGCCTGAAAACAGTATTTATTTTATTGTACAAATGAAAATCAATATTGTGATTCACCTTTTGATGAGAAGTTCTGCCCTCAGTCTCCAAGTACTTTTTACAACTATACTGTTAGAAGTAATAGTATGAGGTAAAAGTTAAAAGTCTTATGTACATATTAGGTTCAACTACTGTGGCCTTTCACTCCTTCACCTTACTGTCTTCACCACATAGCCAAAGATCTCACCATAATAACCTATCTCTGTCCTTCAAGTTTCCAGAAATGGAATGTTAAGTTACATTTGATAGACATTAGCTGAGATCCTGATTTGTGCTAGCTGAAATAGCTCAAAAATTAAGGAAAGATACTCCTTGCAATCACTTGTCTTTGCGTCTTTATTGTAATGAATCTAGCAATGAATGATTTTGATAGCTGAAGTTATCTCAGTAATTGGCAAGTCGAAAACAACTGTGCAACCCCTATACGATCATGAGATACCAGGATCATGAGATCGTGAGATACCAGGATGCCACCAGATGTGTCTAAAAAAGAAAAGTATTTTTTTTTCTTAAGGAGAGATGACAGGAAACCAGAGATAGATTTTTAGAAATGGGGGAAGAGATCAGTGCAGGAGAGGAAAGGGAGAGAAGGGTAATGAGGTTTAAAATGATCAAAGTGTGTTATATGCATGTACCAACATACAAAATAAACATCACTATTCTGTTTTACTGGTATGCACTAATTAAAATGTGTATTTCCAAAATCTGATCACAAGATGGCTCCCTCACTACACTTTTTTCTACAGGGAAAAATGGCTCAACAAGAAATTCTTCATAAACTAGAATATCATTCAGTAATTTAAAATAATGGCTTTTAATTTTCTTTGTAAACCTTAATCTATTTTCTTTTTCCTGTTGGGTTTTTCTATGTATCTGAAGAATACTGTCCTATCAAATTCTTCCTAAAAACCAGAATTCATAATACTAAGCTATTTATTACAAAATTTAACAAACAAGTGATCATTTTGAGCTCAAATTTAGGCTCTGATATTAACTAGCAACTTGAGTATTAATTTGTACTTCATGGAGTAGTTAGAAATATTAAGTACAATTAAAGCACTAATATAGTTTGGACCTGAAATGTCCCTCAAAAGCTCATAGTTAAAGGCTTGGTCCCCAGTCAGTGACACTACTGAGAGGTTGTGGAACATTTAAAAGGTGGGACCTAATGGAAGACAGTTAAGTGATTGAGCGCATGCTCCAATGTGACCCTGGACTCTTCTCTTTCACACGCAGCCATGTGGTGAGTAGGCCTCCTCTGCCAATGCACCCTCACTATGGTGTGCTGCTATAGACTCAAAGCAACAGGACCAGCTGGGTGTAGCAGCACCTCCAGGGCTTACTGAGTGTGATCCCAGTTACTTGGAAAGCTGAGGCAGGAAGATCACTTGAGTTCACCCTGGGCAGTTTGAGACCACCCTGGGCAACATAGCAAGACTAGCTCAAACAGAAAGAAACAAAACAAATTAAAAAAAAATTAAACTCCCCGAAATAAAAAATAAAAGCTAACCAAAATAAAACAAAAAACCCAAAACACAGCAGCCAACTGGTTATGGAACTAAAACCTCCAAAAACTGTAAGCCAAATAAACTTTTATTCTTTTTCAAGTACTCTAAGGCATTTGTAAAAGTAATGGAAGCATTTAAAGAATTTTCTACAGTATTTGGTCCTCAAAACAAATGTAATTATCGTCTTAATCACTCTTACTGTGTAATGTAACCACTGCATTCCTTGGTGTTCACCAAGTGAGTTGAAACTTTTGTCTACATGAAAGTCTGTACATGCTTGTTGATAGCAGCTTTAATCAAAATGGCCAAAAGTTGGATGAAATCCTTTTAGCAAGTGAATGAATAAAGAAATTGCAGTACTTCCATATAATAATTCAATAAAAGAATTTTGTTATTAAGCCACAAATGATATGGAGGAACCTTAAATGTATTCTGTTAAGTGAAAGAAGTCAATCTAAAAGGCTAGGTACTGCATGATTCCAACTATATGATATTCTGGAAAAGGCAAAAGTACGGAGAGTAAAAATATAAGTGATTGTGCAGGATTCAAGGGGATGGAGGGAAGGAAGAATGAATAAGTATAGCATTGGGTATTTCTTTTACAGGAATGGAAATATTATTTGATACGATACTGCAGCATTGGACACATGTCATATGTGCTTGTCAAAACCCACATGTATAACACAAAGACTAAGCACTTATGTAAACAATGGGTTTTACTTAATAAAAATGTTTCAAAACTGCTCCATGAATTGTAATGAATGTACCACACAAATCAAAGATTTTTTTTTTTGGTACCAGGGATCGAACTCCGGTCCTTGCGCTTGCAAGGCAGGAGGCGGAACCACTGAGCTAAATCCCCGGCCCTAAGATGTTGATAATAGGGAAATAGGAGGGGATGAGAGAATATATGGGCACTCTTTGTATTTTCATTCATTTTTTTCTATAAATCTAAAATTGCTCCCCAAAATTCTATTAATTAAAAATTCAAACTAACAAATTTTTTATCATTTCTACATGTTGCGTCACACAGTTAGAAAGCCTTCTACATTATAAAAATAGAAATTCATATTTTCTTCTTTTTGTGGTTTCATCTTTTGACCTTTAATAATTTTTATTTTATTAATAAAGTACTTTATTTCATTAATAAACTATTTTTTATTTTTTAATAAGCCATTTTACAATTTTAGATGTAGAGAAAAATTGGGAAGATACCACAGAGAGATACCATATATGCTATACCCAGTCAACTCTATTATTATCATAACATCTTATATTAGAATAGTACATTTGTTATAAAGAACCAATGTTGATATATTATTATTAGCAAAAATCTATACTTTATTCAGATTTTCTTAGCTTTTCTCAATGTCTTTTTTCTGTTGTAGGATCTCAGCTACCATAGCATATTACATATATTTGTGATTTCTCTTAGGCTTCTCTTGGCTGTGACAACTTCCATTTTCCTTGTTTTTGATGAGTGACAGTTTTGCCAAGTACTGGCCTAATATTTTGCAATATCATTCTAAGAAAATCTATTGTGATGTTTATCTCTCAATTAGATTGGTGTTGTAAATTATGGGGAGGAAGGCCAGAGGTAAAGTGTCATTTTCATTATATTATATTAAGGGTACATAATACCAACATGATTCTTATTTTGATGTCGATCTTGGTCATGTAGCTGCGGTAGTATATGCCTGGTTTCCCTACTGTGTAGTTAATTTCTCCTAGCCTCACCCTTTGCCCCTTTCCCCCTATTATGAATTCATTTATAAATAGGTATGATATGGATTTGTGGATATTTATTTATTTTCTACTTTGGGTTATAATAGAACACTACTTTTTTAGTTACTCAACTTGCTCCAGCTTTGCATTCTAGGAGCTCTTTCAGTTGACTCCTTTGTTCCTTTTGACATACTGTCATTATTGTTAGCTTGTGTTTTCCTTTAGGGCACTTTCTTATTTTTTATGACTACATGATGCTTCAAGTTTATATTTATTTCTTATCCCAGGCCTAGAATTAGTCAGTTTTTTAAAATAGAGTTTGGTATTAGACAGTAAGATTTGGGCACTAGGTGTCTCACTGATACTGGGGTATTACTACTTCTAGGTCCTCTAGTTGTCTTAGTAAGAAAATGTATGTGTAAAACTTTCAATTTTAGTCCTAAAAGTATCAATTAATCTTACTTTTATTTTGGTATAACTGTGAGGTGGGAATTCAATCTTTTCCATTACGGTTTTATATGCTTATGTACTGAAATTTTCCATTTTTTAGATGAGCAGTCTCAGACAGATTATTTAACTTCTTTTATTCTGTTTCCCCTACTGAAGTTGGGTAAAAGTAGAAGTCATCCTTTTAGAGTAATACTAAGGATAAAATGTGGTGATAGACTGAAAAGTCCCATGTGAATTGAAAACATTTTAAATGCATGGTACAATATTAATCAATGTACTAAAAACTACTCTCTTTAGAATTAGTATTTCTTCAGGCAGCAAAGAACTAACCTTTTTTAATTGATGCTTCCTTTGTTTGCAGTACTTTTAATAAAGAGGTACTCTTTTCTAACTGAATTTCCAGTATGTTATTCTTTCCACTGGTTTCTATCATTTTCTGTAGAAGAAATAAAATATATATTACCACCAAATCAATGCTGCTATTTTGATTCTTTTACTGAAGATATGAAGACCAGTAAGAATATACACTACTTAACACATGAAAATCTAATAGTTATACCTAGAATGTAATTTTAAATAAACCAATTTTTGATTTCCTTATTCTTTTCTGGTACCAGGGATGGAACTCAGGACCTTGCAATTGAGAGGCAGGTGTGGCACCAATGAGCTAAATCCTTGGCCCTTCAGATTTACTTTTGATTTTAAAGTAACATAGTAAGGCTGGGAATGCAGGTCCGTGGTAGATAGTTTGCCTAGCATGCATGAAGTCTTGGGTCTACTTCCTAGCACTGTAAAGAAAGAAGATGGTAAAATATTAAAACAGACTAACAATTATAAATTAAAAGCAAAAATATGATCTAACAAGCTAACAAAAGCCACTTTCTTCCAGCCTTTACTCTCATGCTTATTGATTCCTAGCTAGGTGGTATGGCAAAACAAAACAGAGCCAAAAAAAAAAAAAAAAAACCAACAAAAACCAAAAACACACACACAAACCAAAACATACAAAGAAATCCCCCCAAAACTCAAAATCCCCCAAAACAAAACAACATAATTTCTTTTTTTTCGGTACCAGGGATCGAACTTGGGCCCTTGTGCTTTTAAGGCACCAGAACCACTGAGCTAAATCCCTGGCCCAAAACAACATAATTTTTTATGTATGCTCCCAGACTACTTTATGACTATACTATTACAGTAAAAAATCATATTTATTCTATCCTACATCTTGGCTGTTCCATTTAGCACTGTTATCTGGGAAATGATATCATATAAACAACACATATATATCTACATAATTCTTTTACTGTTGTTGTTGTTTTGTTTGTTTTTTGGTGCCAGGGAACAAACTCAGGACCTTGCTTTTGCAAGGCAGTTGTGGTGCCAGTGAGCTAAATCCAACAGCAATATCAAGTTTAATTTTTGAATATGTTGTAATTTACTTAACTAGTTCCCTATTGGACAGAATTTTTTGTTTCTATTGTTTTTACTATCACAGATAAGGAATAAACATTCTTTAATATGTCTCAATATATAAGCCTGCAGGTACTGTTCAAATAACTTTAAAAATTATCAGTTCATGACTAATCTTGAATTATCTATACCTCTACCCACTTCTCCAATCTCACAACTTTTTTTTTTTTTGTGCAGGGGTTGAACTCGGAACCTTGAGCTTGTGAGGCAGGTGGTGGAACAATTGAGCTAAATCCCCAGCCCCCTTACCACTTCTGTTTTTAATCTTAAAACAAATGACAGATCATTTAATCTTTTTAAGTATTACCACCTATATGTATCTCTAAGACATAAGACTCAAAATATCATGAGGTCTACCAAAAAATGAGCAATCAGAAGATTGCTGTGAGTTTGAGGCCAGCCTGAACCATAGTGAAACCCTGCCTCAAAAAAAAAAAATTAAGAACATGATATATATTTCCAAATTAATTCTTATAAAATCTAGTATTTATTCACCAACTGTGTGTCTCATTTCTTCTTCTTAAGAAAATCCTTTAGTTAGGAAAACTGAAGATCATACTTTTTAAAAAGCTCTTGATGTTAGTCCCAAAACCTATCAGCATGAAAACTCTTTAATTTTGGCAATTTGAATAGAAAGGAATAGTAAAAACAGGAGTACACAGGTAGTTCTTATTTCTCTTACACTCCTACATCATTAATGCACTCCTCAAATATTTAATTTATTCACCTACATTTTTTTCAAACACCTCTTCCTATTTCTCTCTCTGGCAGAGGAGGGGGAAAAATCCAATATATTATGTACTTATGGGTTTGGTCTACCATTTGTCCAGAGTCAGGAAGAGGGAGGTCAAATAATTTCTGGCAATAAAGAAGGAAAAGGGAATAGATAGAATAGGGGGGAAAAAGTTAGTCATAATGGCAGGAGATTGAAAGATTAGTCTACTTTAATTTTTATTAAAACTAGTTCTGATTTTATGAACACACTTGGCATTTAAATATATATTTTCCCTTTAACTTTGACAAGTGCTTCAATTATTTGATACCCTCCCCTACAAACATTTTGATATATTAATGCAAATGAGTTAAAAATCAGATATATTTTAAATACAGACTTTAAAAATGAGACAGGGCTTAGCAAAATACATTTTCATTATCTGTACCTTGCTTATTTTTTTGTATTTTTTTCTTCTCAACTTCTTCCATTGGTAAAATGTTCCATTTTTAAAAATATATTGTAACGGTTTGCTATCTTTACATACCTTTTCTATCTGTGAGAAATCCTTTACAAGTTTGTCAATATTCACACTGCTGATCTTTCTGGTACATTCTTCGCTACTTTGATCCATGCTTGGACTAGCGAAAAGCAAGATAATGTTAAGTAAATGAGAAAGATCTAAAGCATCACAGTAATGGTCAGAACTTAAACACTTAATGTTCTACTAATAAAGCACATACCTTGAGCTCTATTTTGCTCAGATTTTTGTTATACCAGGTATTAACAAAGGTCAAATACATTAAATCTTGGAGAAGATTTAAGCCAAGTTTTCTCTAAACAAAATTAAGTGCAACGATATGCACATAGGTAGATATTATTTGTCCATGTTATAAAAATCTAATCATGACAAGGTCTAACACTCACCTCTTTGCCATATGCATGGCTGAACTTAAAATCTGATGAATCATTAAATTTGAAACATGACTTCTGCATATAAATATTGCCAATTTAAGAAGGTAAAGATAGTTAAGTGTGCCACAAATATTTTCTGCTTAGGTTTCATATTTTGTTTGATACATGTTTGGTAATTAAAGGACATACAGAAATTAATGCATTTAAAACAACTGCTATGTATTTCTCTATGTACTTCTATTCTCTTGTACTTCTGAGTAAGATTAACCTTTGGGGACAGCCAGCTAACTTGAAGTGAAGAATAAGAGTTTTAGTTATGTATTTTCAGTTTACTGAATTATTATCGTGTATATTGGCATATAGAAAAGTCCCCTACATAATTAAAATTTGATCCTTATGGCATAAAAATAAAATAATTGTAATAGCTTACCCTGATAAATACAGTAAAATTCTTTGGGGAGCAAAATTAAAAACCATCACTATTCAGTGTTACTGTTATTATTTAATAGAACTATATTCTGAAAAATCCCTTCACCCCAACTTTTTTCTATTTAGTCCCGAAATGATAAGTAAATTTTTTGTTTTGTTTTGCCAGAGGTATGTCTCTAAACCTGGCTCCTGAACTAAATGTATTTTAATTTGAACTTGATCTTTTTCACAACTATTTTTTCTTATAGGACTCATGAAATATTTTTTTCCCTAATGAAACCATTACTGAAAGTTGAGGCTGTAGCTCAGTGGCAGAGCACTTCGCCAAGCAAGACTAAGGCCCCGGGTCAGTACCCTAGCACTCCAAAAACAAAATCCCTATCACAAATATTCCATTTTCAGCCTGGGAGGTGTGGTGGCGCAAGCTTGCAGTATCAGCATTCCGGGAGGCTGAGGCAAGAAGGACTGACTTGCAAGGCTAGCCTGGGCAGCATAGAGAGACCTTATCTCAAAAAAAAAGGAAAGGGCTGAAGGGCTGTGAGAGCTCTGGGTTCAATTCCAGAGTGCCGGGAGACAGTATATTCCATTTGCTATCATTCCATGTCATTCCTTTTGTTACTCTAGCCAAACCAGCCAATTAATTTCTATGCATCTTAATTAACCCTTCCCCCAATTTCCTATAAACAGATCCTTGCCTAGTAAACCTGAGGAGGAGCTGGTGATTCAGAGCTTCTTATATTTTTTTTCCGAGCAGCAGGGATTGGCTTTTGATTTTCAAGGCCCAGCTGCAACTATCCCTACAGGTAAGCGAGGTAAGCGACAGCCTCACTTCCTTTGGCCTCAGGCCTGCCGGCTTCTCCCCTCCCAGATCCCAGCAGTCAGGTCTCGGCAGTGAAGCACTAGGAGCCAGCCTCCAGTCACCTCCTCCTCTCAACGCCTCCCTCGAGTTTTCCAGCCCACAGCCTGGGGATCCGGCCTCTCTCTACAGCACCCTGGTATCCATCAGGGCCTAAGTTTAATTCAGAGGTGGGTATTAGACAAGCAGCTGGGATAAAACGTTGTACGGACGCAGGATACTGTGCAGAGTTAGGCAGGAAAGAATATTCTTGAAAAAGGCGAGAATTTCGAGTCACCCATGAAGAGTTCTGAACGTACTTGCTGTTGTTCCTGGTTCCTCAATGTCTCTCCCGCCTCAATTGGCAGTCCGGTCGGGTACGCCGCTGATTATTGCCCCCTCCACGGGAGGCAGTTTCCCGAAACAATGTGCCCGTGCTGTTTCTGGCCGGGTCTGTGCCTCGTCCTGGCGTTCCCACCACCAGACTTCCTGTCCTCACCGACTTGGCCCTAGCTTCTTTCAGCATCTACAATTTCATGTGGTTTCCAAAACATGGATCAACGTCCAGTGACTGCCAGGTTAGCAAATGTTTCCCGACCGAAGAATAAATCACAGTGTTTTATTTTGACTTGTGAGTCAGCACTATTGAATAAATAATAATCTATATTTATTCTTGAATTTGAAAAGTAGACTTTTAAAGTACCAGAGTCAGTTAATAGGCTTTCTCTAGTGTCTTGCCTCTCTGGCTTAGTAATTAAAGGCTTGGGCTCCAGCACCTATATAAGCCCCAACTCTTTATATTAGGGGGATGATCTTGGGAAAGTTCTCGATTATACTGAACTCAGCTTCTTTAATATGTGATATAAATAAATCATAATAATACCTACCTCATAGAGCTGTTGTGATAATCAAGTGAACTGATGCAATTAGAGGAGCTCCTTGCTTAGAGGGTTACAATGTTATTATAATTTTAAATGGTGTCTACTAACTGTTTGAAAGTGTACCTACTGTCAGCTTTTAAAAATGAGAGATGTGAAGCCAGGAGTGGTGACACACGCCTATAATCCCAGCACTGGGGAGGCTGAGACAGGAGGATCACTGTGAGTTCGAGACCAGCCTGGGCTACACAGTGAGGAGGAAAAAAAAAAAAAAGAGAGAGAGAGATGTGAGATATATTTTCATGAATTTCATTTTTCTATGGAATTCAAAAGTTGGCAAGTAGAAAAATGTAAACTGTAACAGGATAATCCATACCTTATTATTTGAAAAGTAGTGCATAGCACAGAGGCAAGAGAACTGGATCAAAATGGAAAATATGGGGTACAATTTTCTGCTTTTCAAGCAAGGTTCCTTGATGCTAGCCACGACACGTAGAAATGGCTGTCGAAATTCTTGGTTTTATCAAATTAAATGTACCATATGACTAGTGCCATGATAGTGTCTGAAACAAGCTGATTTTATGACCCACCTAAAATGTTGCCTTCTTCGTGAGTCATTCAGTGAGCACAGAGATCAGCTGTGACCATCTTTACTACATGGAATATTTCATTATTTTGTGGCATTGAATCTCTCTTTCCAAGTATATTTATTATTGGCTCCTTAGACCTGGGGAGGGTATGTGTGTGTGTGTATGTGTCAGTATTTCTCCATGTTCCTAAAATAGGCAGAGAAGGCAGAAATGAATCAACATACCAGAAACAAATCAGTAAAGTTTAGCTTCACTTTTTCTAGTTTAGGAAAATAAAAGTTTCTCTTTCAGTTTATAGAGTTAGCATTTTATTTCATAGGATTGTAGGCCATTCAAAAATGTGTATCAAAGAGAAACTATTTGAACTTCTCATGATTTCATCTTTAAAAAGGGAATACCTTTTATAGTTGTATTCAGTTTTACTCCTCAAGCACTATAATCATTATGTATTGCAAATATATACTATTAAAAGTGAAAAAAGAGAACCAGAATTTTTTGTTTGTTTGTTTTTTGAGACAGAGTCTCACTATGTAGTTGAGACTGACCTGGACCTCACTATGTAGCCTAGGCTGGTCTTGAACTAACAGCTATCCTCCTGCCTCAGCCTCCTGAGTGCTGGGATTACAGGCGTGCGCCACCACACCCAGCAAAAGAAACAGAATTTAATGTCAGAAAATATATATTTTATGATTGATCAAGGATTCATTGAATATTTAATGACAATGGCCTAGCAAATCATATTAAAGAACAAATCAGTTTTATGGCAGACTAAGAAAGAAAGGAATATTGGAATCCTTTAAAATCAGTGTGAAATAGGAAGAAAAGGGCTAAAAGTGTAGGGAAAGTGGGAAGGTTAGGGGAAAGCTAATAAGGGGAAAATATGAGAAAATGAAAAAATGGAAATGAAGTGTTTGTAACGGGGGAGGGGAGGAGGGTGAAGGGAGGACAGGGACAAGGGGAAAAAATGAGAACCAAGACCTGTCATGTAAAGGTACAAGATCCCAATGATGAATGTAACTGTACTGTATACCTAAAATGTAACAATAAACTCAATGTGGAAAAAAAATCATTGATTTGGAAAAGAAATATTTATGCGCATAGACAGCTGAAAGAAAACTGCAGCTATAGATCTATGCCTATAAGGATGGTAAGATGAGCAAGACATTGATTTTTTTTTTAGGTTACCAACAATTTCACTTATTAATATATCTTAAAATATTTAAAATATTTGCAAGGTGCCAGCTATTAAAGGTCTAGGAATTAAGATGAGCAAGAAAAATAAGGTATTCTACTTCTGCCTGAACTTACCATCTCATAGGAGAAAATAGCTGAGGGTTGAAGTATAGTATATGTTATTATCAATGTTGCTTTGACAGTCCTGTCTCACCTCCTTACTTTAGTTTCCATTACCAGTGTGTTATAAAAACAAAACATAATGGCATTGCTCCCATATTATAGCAAGTATTTGGAAGTGTTTTAACTAATCAATTCAGTCTTCAGATACAGCTATATTAATAAGCTCAATTCTCTCAATACTTTTGCCCCTGTTTAGGGCATGTTTTTTAAAATCTGCATATTCAGATTTTCCAGTTGCTGTAATTCTAGCTCAATTTCATTTCTATGAATACTTCTTTATACAATGGTAAAAATAGAGGAGAAATCTGCACATGGTGAAATATAAATTAGACATGGAAATAAAGTCCTGGAGATATTATAAAGCACAATTACACTGGTCTGTAGTTTATAAAGTTCTTATAGTCCTGCCAAAAATTTCACTTTCAAGTCTTGTTGGTTAGAATAAAAAAAGGATATAGACTCGATACCTGAGTTTTCTTTGTGAAAAAGGAAAAATCATACATTTCTCATGAATTAATATTCGTGATTTAAAATTCTTGGTTTTTCACATCAAATTAATACAGGAAGTACTAAGAAAATTAACATCTAATTTCCTCAATGCAAAGCATGAGTTTTGTGTTTGTTTTCCTAAAAGTGTCTCTATTTAAAAGGTCAGAGTAGGGCCAAGGGTTTAGCTCAGTGGTTCCTCTGCCTGCCTCGAAAACTCAATGTCCTGAGTTCAATTACCGGTACGAAAAAAAAAAAAAAAAAAAAAAAAGACGTCAGAGTAAATTATTGAAGGCAATCATAATGAATTGTGGTCTAAGCTCCTCCTAATCAAAGTGTGGTAGTAGGGCCAGCAGCACCACCTGCTTGTTTGAACAAAAATTCAGAATGTCATTCTACTTTATAACTTCTAAATTAGGTCCTGCATTTTAACAATACTTCTGGATGATCTGTGTGCATATTAATGTTTCAAAACCATTAGTTTTCTAAACATAGAGCTTTTCAGAGGTATTCATTTTCTTCTTGCCTTTTTAATACTCTCAGCATTTACCCATTTACTTAAGAAGGACTTGTTGCACTCCAACCATGTTCGGGAGATCTGTGAGAACACTACGCATACATGAACAGATGTAGTCCCTTTCCCCACAGGGCTCGTGATATAAGAGGGGAATAGACAATAAATAACCTGTTATGGTTTATGTCGAGATGTCCCCTCAAAGCCTCATGTGCTCATAGGTGGGGATTTTGGAAATGGCCAGATCACAGGTATTTAATACTAGATTTTGGATGTGATAGCTGGATTAGTCCCCTAATTGGTTTAGCATAGTTCTGGGTAGGAATAATGGAAAGGCCTATCCTGGGTGTGGATGGCACCAACCAATAGCTTTGTAGCTTGAATGGAATGAAAAAAAAATAGGAAAGGAAGGCTCACTGCTTGCTGCTTTCTGTCTGCTCTGCAGTGGATTGTGTGTCTTCTGCCATGCTGCCCTGCCTTAGAGCCAGCCGACTATGGATTGAAACCACTACAAACTGTAAGCTAATATAAACCTTTCTTCCTTTAACTCATGGGTATCGGGTATTTCATCCCAGGAATGAGAAAGTAACTAAGACAAAATGTATAACTATAAATTATAAAAAGTGCGAAACAGAAACCTAATGGCTTTAGTGGTTAGGCTGATCTCAACTCAGTTCTCACATTGCTGAATCCTTGATTGTGATCACTCCTCCCTCGGCTACTTGGTGTCTCATCCTCCAACAGACTCAGCTTTGTTTGTCCTTGGGGAGTGTCAGAGTTCAAGACTGAAAGCAAAAGCTTGCAGGGCTCTTTAGAGGAGACTCAGCTGTGGTCCACAACCACTTCCACACACTCTGCTAGCCAAAGCAGATTACAAGTCAGCTGAGATTCAAATCATGAAGGATCAGACTCTGATGATAGTAGGAGCTGTAAAGAGAGTGGATACAGGGAAGTAATAATTGTAGCCATTTAAAAATATTACCAATAACCATAAAGATCGAGAAGATAGATTCATTCATAGGAAAATGGATACATATTGAAGATATACTCCTAAGTGAAATAAATAAGTCACACGTGTAAATACCGAATAGTTTCTCTGGTGTGAATAATCTACAATAATACAGAAGATCCTAATAAGATTACTGACATTTAGAAATGGGAAGAAAGGAGCTAAAGGTGTAGGGAAGGTGGGATGGGTAGGGGAAGGGTAATAAGGGAAAAGAAAAAAATGTGAGATAATGAAAAGATGGAAATAAAGTGTTTGTAGATGGGGAGGGGAGGAGGGGGTGAAGGGAGGGCAGGGACAAGGGGAAAAAATGGGAACCAAGACTTGTCACGTAGAGGTACAAGATCCCAACAATGAATGTAACTGTACTGTATCCCTAAAATGTACCAATAAAAGCAATTAAAGCTGAAAAAAATATTACCAATAACCATCCTTACATAAGCTTGTCAAAATAAAATGGCTGTAGAATGCATGCCTCAGTAAAGGGGAAAAATAGCTGGTTATATACAACTATTCAGAATAAACTGAGTAAAATTTGAAGGGCATCTGCCAAGTATTTTTGTATAATAAACATTGAAATTTAATCATTCATTCACATAGTAGTTAGTAAAATGAAATATCTTTTATGGCAACTGTCATCCTTTTATAGGGATGTATTTAGTTTCATATAACATTTAAGCAGTATTAAAAACAAAACAGATGAGTCTTAAAATAGAGCTGATTTGGATGTTTTCTTCCTCTTC